TAGCCAGGTCAGCAAGTAGGGCACTAGGCCAACTTATTGTTAAATGTAAAGCACATGGTGGTTTTCAACACAATATCTACACAAAGCTTTTATATACGATGGTTTGGTCGGTCATAAATTATGGCTCATCTATCTGGGGCACCAGAGATTTTTCATGCATCACAGCAGTGCAGAACCGTGCCATGCGATTCTACATGGGCGTGGGGGAATTATACCCCAAACGATGCCATGCCAGGTGATATGGGTTGGAAGCCACCTGGTGTTAAACAATGGACAAATATTTTTAGGCACTAGTCAAGATGTACAAATATGGAAAACAATAGAATAAATTATAAGGTTTTTAAATGGTCAGTGATGAAAGGCAGTTGTAAATTGACAAATTGGTGTTACAAAGTTATGGAAATGTTTAAATCTTTTGATTTTAAAAGATATTGTAAAATAAATGATAATTTTCTTGAAAGTTATAGTATATCTATCAGTTAAAAAGAAGATAAAATGTTTGATAAATATAAAAAAGACTGGTGCACAAGAATGTTATCATAATATAGTACTGGTAGTACATTGAGAACATATACACTTTTTAAACATATTTATAACACTGAACAGTATTTACTACAGAAAATGCCAATACGTCATCGTAGTGCTATTTCAAGATTTAGATGTGGTGTAGCACCATTAAGACATGAAACTGGTCGGTATGAAAGGAAAAATCTTGAAGACAGAGTAGTTTTAATGTTTTAAAGGATGAAAAGCATGTACTTTTAAATTGCCCATTATATGAGGATATTAGTAGATATAGGAAGATGTGGTATGAGTGCCAATGAGACAACTCTCCATCCAAGTTACAATTTATAAAAGTAAACCATTATAGGCATGCTATGTTTATTGATTTATTGTATTATAATGATATGTTTTTAAATTTGTCTGATGAAGAAAAATTTATATATCTTTTTAAAAATATCGATATTTGTAATATTGTTGCCAAAACCTGCAATAACATTTTAGCAAAGAGAAACAGTATTTGATATCATTAATTGCACTTTTAGTATTTCATAGATAAATTGGTATAAATATGTATCTTAATAGTCTCTCATAATTCTTTTAAGAATGGCACATACATAGATTTTACTTGTTTTTATATATGTATCTTGTTTTACATGCATGTTGTATGTTGTGAGACTTTAATAAACTATTGAATCTGAATCTGAATTTATATTTTATTTATACAAACACAACCATTTTACATGTGAAAATAGCATATGCATATATTTTGTATCGTTTTCGGGGAGAAATTTATGTTAAAAGATGTTAAACATATCCAAAAAATGTTTAAGTGTTGTTTATAAAACATAAACTCATGCACATTAAGTGGGACATTTTCCTTTAAATAACGTGTTTGAAATACAGTTTCACACAATATGCTACATGACTTTACATTTTCACAATGCATGCAATAATAGCCTGTTGATGTTAAGCAACCAACAATCAATCAAGTTTTATCGTTTTATTGTGTAGTTATTGTTAGTTCACTTGGCACTTTTGGGCATCGCTTGGGAGACCATTGTGCGTTGTGCGTATAAACCAAATTAACAAGTCGCCATCGTCTTCTATAAAACAAATTATACAGTAATAAACATACTTTACAGAATTTTTTCACAATGTTTGGGTGATCTGAACGTATACAAGCTGTTCCAATAGAGAGAAAACATGGACGCGCAAGAGTAATTCCTTCATTCTGATCAGGCAGTTATCAAAAATATTCACTTCTGAAACAAGAAGTACGAGACAAAATTGTAAAAGTTACGGGGACTAATGAAAACAATTCCATTTGAACCTAAATTCATCAAGTTAATATGTCTTTTTCGATCAAGTGGTACATTTGCCAGGAAAAAATGTCAGGCGCTTAAAAGTCTCGTGTTGGCCTAATGTAGAACGTTATTATTTACTTTTATATCATCTATAAATTTTGTTTTTAGCTTCAACGCCTGATTTAACAGTGATCTTTTATTTTTTATAAAACGAACACCAGGATCGCAAGCTTCTAGACTGATTTTCCAATCCATAATCATTAATCAAGTTTAGTAAATACATATATGATGCAGTTCAAAATTTTCCATGGAAACGAGGCTTACGTTAAGTAGCCAGAAAACAAACTTCGTGAGCCCAGAGGTCCCTATCAGTTGTGCCTGCAACTTTATCAGGGAAACAAAGAGCCCGAAAATATAGCCTAGAAACACCCGAATCTTAGCAATGAATTTAGGATGGAGAACGATGCCCAGATCTAAAGCCCGTGTTATCTCCCATGTATGTATATCCGGGTAAAATGGCGTTCCGGCTAAATGGAAATCAAGAAGGAATATTTCGCTCCTTAAAGTTTTATTTTAGCAGTCCGGCAAGACCGAACAACAAACTCCAAACCAAAATGTAAAGTAACATACAAACAATAACAGTATATATAAGCACAAGCAATTAAAGGATTAAGAAGATTACAATATGCCAAATAGAAATAACAATAGATTAGAAGAGTAATTAATGTCCGACTCTTTGTAAAATTGAGAATGGAAATGGGGAATGTGTCAAAGAGACAACAACCCGACCATAGAGCAGACAACAGCCGAAGGCCACCAATGGGTCTTCAATGCAGCGAGAAACTCCCGCACCCGGAGGCGTCCTTCAGCTGGCCCCTAAACAAATATGTATACTAGTTCAGTGATAATGGACGTCATACTAAACTCCAAATTATACATAAGAAACTAAAATTAAAAATGATACAAGATTAACAAAGGCCAGAGGCTCCTGACTTGGGACAGGCGCAAAAATGCGGCGGGGTTAAACATGTTTTTTGAGATCTCAACCCTCCCCCTATACCTCTAGCCAATGTAGAAAAAACAAACGTACAACAGTACGCACAGTAAAACTCAGTTTAAGAGAAGTCCGAGTCATTTATTTCGTCTGTCATATCTTCATATTTTGTTTCCTTGATGGCTTCAAATATTTCTTATACTCGTTATTGAAGCTGTCGTCTGTACTCATGGTAGATGTTGTATAGAAAAATTGAAAGTCCAATTTCCATGTGAAGTGTAACTCTGTGGCATGCAACTTATAACAATGTTTCGTATTTTAGTTTTGAGAGTAACACACCAGCTACATTGGGACCTCTTATACACCGACAATTATTTCGGTCTATAAAAACATCTCAAATTTTAAGGATTTCCTAAAGTTACTTAATCAATCCAAATATTCTATGGGAAAAACTTAGTTCTGAAGAAGATTTATAAATACCTCAATATGCTCTCAAAAGAACCAATTAATACAAATAAAAAAGATATGTGTCCTATGTAGATATATGAAAATGTATAGATACCAGGATTAAAATGTTGTACGCCAGACGCGCATTTCGTCTACAAAGACTCATCAGTGACGCTTGAATAAAAAAATGTTAAAAAGACCGAATAAAATACAAAGTTGAACAGCATTGAAGACCCAAAATTTCGAAACAAAGGTTTTGCCAAATACATCGAAGGTAATCTATTTATTCCTTGGGAAGAAAATCCTTTGTATTTTGAAAATTTCAAAGTTTATAATAGGACAGTCACTCAAACAAAAAGAAAAAAGAAAAGAGAAACAGCTAGAGGTCAGAATACCTTAACTTATGATGACCATGATTCAACGTCACATGTCCAGCTCTAACTGCCGTGTCCTGAATTCAGATAAGAAAAATTCACAGTCCGCGAGTGAAATTAATATCTATGCATGCATGTGGTTTTCTTGCGCAGCGCAAGAAATAGTAAGTGGAAAGCATACACACTGATACTCTGGATTACAATACGCATTTGCGTCATCACGTATATATTCATTCTAGGCTCAAATCTAATGCTAGTTGAATTCGGATGTCAAACTACCTACCTCAAGTGTTTTGACTCCGGATTCATGGCCATTTAATCCGAAATTTGTGTAAACGCAAACCGATGTTGTATCGTGTGAACAGGGTGTAATATAATGAATCAAGACGGGTGTATGATAGCTGGTAAACACAATGAATACTAGGGGCGGATCCAGCCATTTAAAAAAAAGGGGGGTCCAACCATATGTCCCCATTCAAAAGCATTGATCGTCAAAAAAGGGGGGTTTCAGAGACTTATACAACCATATATACTAAAACGAAATTAAATAATTAACGTAGTAATTAAATGATTATTGTAAAATATTAAATACGTGTTTTGTGAGATGCAAGGATTTAAAATCGTTGTGAAGTATTTTTTTCATTCACTACAGTTTAAATTTAACTTACTTGTGTACGCATCCCTGATAGTTGGTGCTAATATGTTGCATATAATTTTCACAAATGTATTCACTGTTCAGACATGTCGGACATAATATATCATTATACATTATATTCTTTTAATGACACATTTAGTTTCAGTTTCAGCTTTATAATGTTAATGAATATTTTCTTGGTCTGTTAGTGTATTTTAATGAAATTAAATATTTTGACAGAAATATTGTTTTGTTTAATTATAATTATGCTTTCCGACCTAACATACATATTTATACTTGTTTCTGATGATATAGAATGGCCCATAGAAGCTTCCAAAACTCGCCAATATATAAGCGTGAACGTTCACGCAAAAAGTTTGGATTTGTTGGAAATGTTTGTATAGTAGTAGTAGTATAGGAAATTCTCGAGGAGTTCTAACATGAAAGTGAACAATTGACAATATTTTAAGCAAACAACTTTAAAGTGTAGTGAATTAAAACATAAGATAGTATGTCTATATCTTAAATGTTTTATTATACAAAAAAAGGAGATAAATTCAAAAAGAAAGTTATGAATGAAAAGATTGAACTTCTTGATATTAAATTTTCTTTTTGACATATATATGTCAAATTATTTGAAATCATTTGAAAACAATAGCAACGAAAGACAATTGTATTTAACTATATATCGCTTCGTGAAGTTTAAACAAAGAAATAAGTTCAACAAGAAAAGTATCGTGAGATCGATTTCTAAATCTCGTTCATACACTTATAAAAAAATATGACTACAGAAGAAAATATTAGGATATGGACTTTATAAATTTTGTTGTCCTGTTCATTGTATTAGTAAACAAATTTACCAAGGTACTAACTTACGGTAAGTCACGAACTATGCAAGGAAAGTTACAAAATTAATGTACAATAACCCTAGATCTGGTAAAAATTAGATACGAATTAAGCTATCGTTTCTGGGCGAATATGCCATGTGTTTATTTTATTTCTCAATCGGTAATTTTGATAGTTATGTCTAACAGTTTGTACATAATGTGTTGTGTCAACAATTATATATTTATTATTCTTTTGTCAAATCGTCACGAGCGTGTATCCGTTAACCTTTACCATAGGTACTTGGGGACAGGACAATTTTTTTAGCCCTCCCCCTTTTCCCAAAATCCGTTATTTCTTTTTCTATAAATTTCAATTATTTTCGCGTTTCTCTGTATTATATGAACATAAATATGTTAGAAATAACTTGTATTTGCTATTTTCTATCAATTCCAAGGTTACTACCCACAGCGGTCACTGATATATATTATAGATTAACTTGGAATTGATAGAAAATAGCAAATACAAGTTATTTTTAACATATTTATGTTCATATGATACTAAAAAACGCGAAAACAATTGAAATTAATAGAAAAAAAAACGGATTTCGGAAAAAAAGGGGAAGCGCTAAAAAAATATTGTTCTGTCCCAAGTACCTATGACCTTTACTAGAAATACCTTTCATTGTCCTGCTATCTTGTATCCATTAGTTTAACATTTCAAAAATTCCCATATTGATATTACGAATGAGAAATGAGTTCTCTAGAGACATATCGGATCGAGTGGTTGAAAACAAACCCACATTTTATCAGAAATAGAAGAAAACATTTATTTTTTTTATAGCATATTAGTGATTACTTCCTTATGGATTTATAACAAGTTGGACTGACCAAATTACTAGAAGTTACATGCTTCCTATCAGAATATAGATTAAAAAATGGCCAGACTCAATTTTGACCAAGCCTTAGAAGAAATCCTCCCGTATTAAAAACAAGCATTATAATAGTATCATGACTAGAAAATTACCAAATTTCTATGAGAGAAAATAAAGAACACGAATTTTTGTTTTCAAATATTAAAACAAACACTTTTTTCAACCTATGATCTTTCATTTAACTTTTAATGTATTGCAGAGAGAGAGAGAGAGAGAGAGAGAGAGAGAGAGAGAGAGAGAGAGAGAGAGATATGTTGTTTATTTTTAACTAGTTATATGTTAGTTTGCATAAGCATATGTATATCTATATCTCCAATATTTACATGTATTAGGTAATCTTTCTGTAGATCATGTGACGACTTGTGCAGTGTCGTCTACCATTGGAGAGTCAGTTCCTTATGACTTTACAGATGAGCTGGACATAAGTACTGGTAAGCTGTAGAATCTTTAAACCAGAGTGTAGGACAAACGAAAATAACTCAAATGCCAACGAAGAGGAAACAAACTGAAACACATTACACGTTCTCACGGACAAATACCGACTCCTAGTCAACGAGTGATGTTCTAATATGTTAAACATTGAAAAGGGGGAGGGTTGAGATGAAAATAAAGTTAACCCGCGCCACATATTTATGTGGCTGTCCCAAACAAGGAACCTTGTTCGTGGATGTCAATTGTCGTTTCGCTATGTTTTTCGTCGTTTGTGGAATTAGTGTTGATGGCAGGTCTTTGATAGTCTCGGTTAAATTCATGCACAGCTTCATGAATTTAAGATACATATACATGGCTATTCCATAAGACTGTACATTACACCTACTGGATATAGTTCGGGGTTTATTACAGTTTGGTTTATGTTTCATTGAGGTACCGCCACAAACATTCTTTAAATTAACAAATAAGGGAGACGGATTTACTCTTGTTTTCTAATCCCAAGTATTGAATTATTGAATTACTTGTATATTTCGTATTTATTTACTCTTGTAGCTATACATAACGAATTCTTGAATATAACATGTTTACACGAAATTGATAAATACAGATATAATGTTGTCCAATCTTCATATCTATATTTACTCGCGTGCTGGTACATATAAAAGGATAACGAAATCAGAGAATTCATTTTGATTACATTGCATTTGTCTTTACGCGATTGACGTTCAGTTTTTACCAAATAAGCTTCAAACGTTTGGGAAGCTATTCTACTAGTAGTTAGTGGTGTCATTGCCAATCATATCACATGTCTTTATAAGGTAAACGTTTACTCTCTTAAAACATTTATTCTTTACTGATTTTAATTTTTTATGAAATTGTTTCCACATTTATAAATTATTTCTTCTTAGTTTATCGGTCCGAAATACACATAGAAGCTATACTGATTGTAAATGTTTTATTTGACAATGGGCATTTCTTGTTGAAGTTCAAAAACAGTTGTTTTGGGGAGAATCCTGAAAATGAACTTTTTTGATTATTATTATGTGATTAAATCATGCCTTTCTGAATTATTAAACAGATAAATCCTTAAGTTCAACAATGGAAAATGTGCTACTGTTAATATAACTGTTAAATAATTTATTTTTATCCTTCTCCAACAACAGGAGCAGTATACATGATAGAAGACGAGAACTTTCAAGTGAAATGTTGTGGTGTAATATCATACTGGGAGATAAATGCTCGATCTCTAGCCACCATATATTTACAAATATGGAGAAGATTGTCGTCTAACTCATATGAATTGGTTGGGTTTAATACTGTTACACCCCCAGGTAAGTATAACAAAATATTGTTGAAACAGAAATATATGTAAACAAATATTTACCCATCCCTCCTTAAAAAAAAAACCAAAAAAGGAACTCAAAAACAGGTCACCCAAAAAAATATCTAGAATGAATATGATTAAGGGTTATTGTCAAATTTTCAATGACATAAGTAACGTTCTTGCTTAGTTCATCTGTGAAGACACTAGACAATAAAAAAAAGTGAAGACATCTAATTCAGGATATTGCTACTAAAACCTCAATAAAACACACTTTAATACATAACTTTATTTTACAGATGTAGGACATTTTAAATACTCTGTTCCTATCTCTGAGAGGATCAGTGTAAAACATGGTGACTACATAGGATGGTATGTTAACTCTTTTTATGTCATTGAAATTCTGTTCCTGAATTGTATTACAATTATTTATTTTGAAAAAAAAACGTGTATTATGGGTGCTCATAGGAATAATCTTTAGTTTTTAAAGTTCACGAATTCGTTTTAAATAAAAGCAGACACAAATTACATTGAACCCATACACTTCTCCATATAGCCTAAAAAGGGCAAATAGAAATGGTAAAACAGAAATCATGTCAATCAGTTTAATTTGGAAAACAAACCAAATGAAGTGCAAGTAAGAAGTTTACTTGGCTATAAAAAAAGGTTTAACTCACCATTTTGTTTTAAAAATGCCGGTACCAAGTCAGGAATATGACAGCTGTTTTTCACTTGTTCTGTTGATTGATAGCGTTTCATTATCTCTGAGAGAATTAATGTAAAACATGTTGACTACATAGGATGGTATGCTCAACTTAATGTCATTGTAATTTTGTTCCTGAATTGTATATTATTCTTTTTTGAAAACGCGTATAGTATGAGTAATCGTAGAAAAAAACATTAATTTTACAAGTTCGTGCGATATTTTTAGAGTAAAAGCAGACAAAAAAATTCTTTGAACCCATTCACTCCTCCATATAGGTTAAGGAGGTCAAACAGAAAATGTAAAACAGAACTCTATCCATCAGTTTAATTTGTACAATAAACCAAATGAAGAGCAAGAAAGATGTTTAGCTGGCTTTAAAACAAGGTTTAACCCACCATTTTCCTTTAAAAAATGGTTGTATTAAGTCAGGAATATGACAGTTGTTTTTCACTTGACGGTTCCGTTGATTGATAGCGTTTGATTTTGTAAGTTGTTACGGATTTCCCCTTTTAAATTTGCCTTGAAGTTCGGTATTTTTATTTAAACTTGTTTGTTACTGACTTCCCAAAATATTTATAATTTTCTTATATGCAGCGGTGTATTCTCGTATCTATCGTGTTTTGAGTGAGATGTACGGGGATGTTATTCGGTGTGCCACATTCATGCGTGTTTCCTAGTAGCTACAATAGTTTGAAATCCGAACTATTTTGTGAAATTTCAAAAAGATTATCTACTTTAATAGGCCTTTCTGCGTTGTAAATATAAACGTTTTATAGGAAAGGCTATAAAAATAACTCCTATTTCAATGTATAGTACGTGTCTTTTGATAAACTTGAAACATTTTTAACTTAAAAGAAATGATTCAGAACATAATATTCGGGGAAAAATATAGGCGAACGTATGTCATACACTTATCCGGGAATTACCTTTATGCCGATGATTTACTTTTACGAAATACTCTTATCCTGGAAATTTCAATTTTATGAAGAAAATATGTCTACAAGTATCAATAAGCAAATCTTTTATTTGAGATGGTAAATTATATTGATGAATTATCATTTTTTATGCATTTTTTCAAATTTAGTCATCTTTATATTGAACTAATACTGAAATAAGAACAGTAGCCGCCGAGATCTAAAATAAAGGCTCCCGTGTATCTGTTACCCCAAAGAAAAAAGAAAAATAAGAATCAGTTCACATTCGCGGTATTTTCGAAGTCCGTTTTCAATTTCAAATGAAAGGGGGGTGGGGGCGGAATTGATGATTGATGATTTTGTAAATAAACACTTTTGTTCAAAATATCGAATACATTAGATAAGGAATTGACAATAGATATCACTTGTGGATAAGAGAATATGTTGTGTATACATTTATAACCTAAAAAAAGATGAATTAATTAACAAATCTAACACAAGTGATCCTATAATACCTTTCACCAGATGAAATAAAACTTGTCTGGGGCCAGTGATTTCAAATCTTAAATGGACAACCTCAATTTTAAATACTGTACAACTACTGTGTGACGAACTTTATCACAAACCGAATTTAAATATTACTGATACAGCATAAACTCAAAATTTTCAAATATTTTGTTAACCACAACTCTTAACCCCCTTCTTTTGTTGTTATGTATCGAAATAAGACGTATATGCAACTTAACCAAATAAATCTGTTACCATTCAGTCATTGCTAATTAGCATTTAAACAAATAAAAGTGAAGGAAGAGCCATTAACGACCTTATAATTTAACATCTTGTTTCCAACACATAGGTTATCATCTGATGTAAATGCCTTCCGACAAGTTCTAACAGGTTTCAAGTTCATAATCGATGTATTTATATAAATCATATGCTATAACTCACAGTCTTCGACCTGTATAAATCTTCTGAAAATGTATTGTGTAATATTTATTTATCTGTATATTTTTTTAAAATCAATTCAACGACTAATTTTCCATGATTTTTTAAGCAAAATGCCAATGGATAGTATAAATATTATATATATTTTTTATTTCATGATATACCGAGTAAAAAATGGTTACGATAGTTTGTTTATTGGTATGGTTAGAAAAATAATTAATTTTTATACGCCCGTCTAAGATTGGAAGTATGTTATACCGTTGCCTGTCTGTCCGTCCGTCCGTCCGTTCGTCGTCATCACTTCGGACAATAACTTAAAAATGCCGACAATGCGGTATGGGTTTTCCTCATTGTTGGAGGCCGTACGGTGACCTAAAGTTGTTAATTTCTGTGTCATTTGGTCTCTTGTGGAGAGTTGTTTCATTGGCAATCATACCACGTCTTCTTATTTTTATATTGAACCAATTTTCATGAAACTTTGGTGAATTGTTTATATCCACTGACGTAATCTCCGTTTTGATTTTTATAGATTTAAGATTTTACGTTTCCGAGTTCCGAAATTTTATTCGTAAAAAATTTCCAGTTTTCAGATAATAATTCAACAACGCTTTGAGCAGTCTTCATGAAACTATGATGACTTGTTTAAATCTACCGATATAAGCTCCCTTTTTCATATAAATTTCTGATATGACATTGCGGAGTTATGGAACTTTATTCGTTGAAAAATCATCAAAAGTAAAAGGGTGACGGGCGTAGCATGCCCTCATGGCATAGCTCTTTATTAAATATAATATCAAAGATATTTGATGCTTAACTTTTCTTACTCATTATATATATCCTAAAATTGATTGGTTTTTATACGCCCGTTTACGGAATTATTATGGTATACCGTTGTCCGTCCGTCCGTCGTCAACATGTCGGACAATAACTCAAAAACGCTTTAACCAATTTTCATAAAACTTTGGTGAATTGTTTATATCTATTGACGTGAGCTCCCTTTCGACTTTTATAAATTTTAGATTTTACGTTTCCGAGTTATGGGGTTTTATTCATTAAAAAAGGGGGATTTTCCAGTTTTCGGATAATAACTCAAAAACACTTTCACCAATTTGCATGAAACTTTGGTATATTGTTTTTATCTATTCACATGAGCTCCCTTTCGATTTTTATAAATGTTTAGATTTTACGTTTCCGAGTTATTGGGTTTTATTCATTAAAAAAGGAGGATTTTCTAGTTTTCGGACTATAACTCAAACATGCTTTGTGTAGTTTTCATGAAACTTTGGTGAATTGTTTATATCTATTCACGTAAGCTCCCTTTCGATTTTTATAAATTTTAGATTTTACGTTTTCGAGTTATGGGATTTTATTCTTAAAAAATTGTTGATTTTTCCAGTTTTCGGACAATTACTCAAAAGTGCTTTGAGCAGTTTTCATGAAACTTTGGTGACTGGTTTATATCTACTTAAATAACCTCCCTTTAGTTATTTATATAAATTTCTGATATGACATTGAGGAAATATGGAACTTGATTCTTTGAAAAATCATTACGAGTGAGTGTTTTTATTGCAGTACTAAGTCTTTAAGTCTAGTGCGTCATTCTATATTAGCAACAAAATTACAGTTTGCATCGATATGGTTTGCATGTTTATATGGTAAATTACTTATCTATCTGTAAACTTTATTATGGTAGAACGGAATCGAGTAGTTTACTATTTTAAACGTTACTTTTTATCCCATACTGTTCTCTTTCATATTGGATATATAATCCTGTCCCTGATTAAAAAAAAGTGGAAAGACAGACGTATATGTACGGATCATCTGAAAGTTGGCGGCGCTAACCTGTATATGTACATGTACGTTCGATTTTGACTTCTATATACCGGTAAAACGGAATCGAACCGATTACTTTTAATGCAGATCTTTGTCTGTCTGCCTTTAAGCATTCATATAAACAATCCTACGATTACTGAAAGAAAGACTTAGTCTATGTATCACTAAAGCCTATTTAAGATCTCCTAAAATGGACATTCAATTTGAATTCGAATGATTGTAATCACGGATTAAAATCCATATCAAGCATTGTATAAATTCCTTTATCACGAATTTCTATTCCTTTTGAGCAGTTTGCACAGAGTTTAAGAAACAATTCTATGTCATTTTGAAAAGAAAGGGGAGATAACTGAAAGCATCACATCTACAAACCACTTTCTCCGCAACAAATACCTAACTTCATAACATATTTCCGGGATAAGAGTACCGGCATATAAGATAAAATTGTAGGCTTAATTTTTCCGACTTATTCAAGTAATGGTAAACTCTGAACATGCTAACATTCTGTATGTGTCTGTCAGGAGTCTGTAATTAGTTCATTAGTTGTCGTTTGTTGCTGGGTATCGTATTTGTTTTTGTACATTGTTTTGTACATAAAACAGGCCGTTCTTTTTCTCGTTTGAATTGTTTTACAATTGCCAATTCAGGGCCTTTTATAGCTGACTATGCGGTATGGGTTTTGCTCATTGTTGAAGGCCGTACGATGACCTATAATAGTTGTAAACATCTATGTCATTTGGTCTCTGGTGGAGAGTTGAATCATTGGCAATCATACTACATCTTCTTATTTTTATATAAATAAATTTACCATTGTTTAATTGTTATTTGTGCAAATTGTGTCGTATTGATACGTTTTGTAAAGTTTGGAGGTATATACGAACTGGGACTTCTATAACACAAATCTTATAGGTGTCTCAGAAAGTAAAATTTTCTCAGAATATGAGTAACACTGTATTACACTTTAGAACACTGAGTATTTCCGGGACAAGGGTAGTGACATATAAAGTAAAATTGAAGGATAAATATTTCAGACTATTTTGGAAGAAAAGCATTATCCAAAATTATTGATAAGTGTTAGTGTATCTCTATGTAGTGAGTCGTCTCCTTGGGGCCGAGGGTTTGGCGGGGGGCGGAGGAATTGCATATTTTTGTATTTTGAAGAAAAAAAACACTGTTGGTTGAATTTCCGTCAAATGAGTACTCACTCTTATTTCAGGATAAGAGTATTGAGTAGAAAAGAACATTACACTATATTCAGAAACAGCTATTTATTCTGTCATGTATTTCCGAGAGAAAATATTTTTCGTGCATATTTCGGATAAGTATTTTTGTGTTGAAATATGTGTTTTTGTTTTGTTTAACGGCTTTACTCCTTAAAATTTGTGCATTCAATATTTACATAATGTAGAGTAAATACGACTTTCCTTTTATGAGTAATACGTTGCAGTTGTCTCCCTTTACATTAAATATAGATTTTTAATGAATTCTCCCTTTACACATAACGATTAATTAAAAATTTGGGCATTTTATTCCAACTATCATAATTCTACTCATCAAAAAATATTTATTACTTCACTATATATCCTATCAAAAGACCTAATATAAAATATTTTGCTTTATTAAAAAATATTTTAAAAAGTTTTTTTTCCTTGTTAAGGGTAATGGATAAAAGTAAATTTCCGGGTTTAGGGTATTTCATGGATAAGTGTATGACAAACGTACTCCTTTGAAGTGTAAACGTAAAACAGAGATATCTGTTGGATGTTATATGTTAAATACGGCATTTATTACAGTCAATAGCCCATTATTCTCTAAATTATATATGCTTTCCCTTCTGTAAAAAAAGAATTGTATTTCCTAATTCATGTGATAATAATCTTTTGATATAACAGTTAGAGTAATTACATTTGATTGCTCCTTAGCTATCTTTTTCTGAGGTCCTGGAAGGGTTTTTATTTTAGCACCCCGTTATTTTCTATTCTGTAAACCCCATGTAGATCCTCTAACTTTGTTTTATTTGTAATAAGACTCTGTTTTCAGGTTCACAGCAGGATCAGAGGTGATTTCGTACAACGAACATAGTTCATACCCAATCATGAACAGAAAGTTTACGGGTCAAACTAGTTTTACTGTTGGGGATATTTTAGACTGGACTACTAGTAGAAATACTGATACAAACAGACAGTATGCTATTGGTGCCCAGACAGCTTCAGGTACAACTACAAAAAAGCAAAACAAAAAACAAAACAAAACAAAAAAACAAAACAAAACAAAACAAAACAAAACAACATTGAAATAAATAAACAAACATTTTGTCAGTTGTTTATTTAAGGTTAATACTCAAATTGTGTATTCTCAAAGTAAGAGTTTTCGAGCTTTTTTTAGTCGTTTAGAATTTGATCATCTGACTATAAATTCGTTATAAAAAGCTGGAACCTCAAAGCATACACACAGTTATGTGATACCGTGAACTATCGTATAAGTAAAGATCGAAAGTGTTTTATTTTAAATGATCCTGATGTGAACTAAGTAAGGAGAACATTGATCGTACCTATATCTTCTCTTCTATGCTATACTATTATTACATTTGTATTTTTGCCTTTATTCATTTAATTGTAAATTGAATTAAGGTGATACTCCGACCCTGAATATTGGTACCAATTATGAGATGACTATTGACGAATCAACAGCTGTTGGAACAGCTATACTTACCCTATCCGTGGTCGATGACGACGTCTCCGATATACATACCATCAATGTTTTCAGCACGGAAAATGGATACTTTGAGCTCAATTCTTGTAAGTTGGGAATTGATGGTAACATAGACGCATAAAACAAGTCGTTTTTGAAAATAGTGTTATTAATGAAATTGAATATCATTGTTCAATCAATCAAAAAGGAATTAAAAAAAATTATGACTAAATAAAAAAAAAAAATTTTTTTTTTAACTTGTTTACCCTAAAACTAATACACAAAGGACACATTGCTCAGAGTGCAATTATTTTTCCACAGAAAACCCTGTCAATGGGAGGAAAGGAGTGTAAAAAGGAGGGGTAACAAACTGTTATTCAACTCTCAAAGCTATTTGCTATAAATTAAATAAACTAAATGTTTATATTATTCGAATTGTTCTTTGTATCATTGATTTTTCAATGCTCTGCACGAGAGGGTAGCATTAAAAAGTGTTACCTACCGAGTCATTTATAAGACAAGAATGTCGTCCTCGGAATAAACCATGAAAAATTGTCATTTTAAAATGGCGCATAATAATTCAAGTAAAAATACTACACAAATCATTGTATTCATAATTGTCACATTTTGCATGTACGAAAATTTAATGTGATAAAGATATAACGCTATATTTTTGTTGCAGTGGCGCTGGAGACACTCCAAGATGAGATTCCAGAAGCCACTTACATAATGGAACTAGAAGTTATAGATGAATGTTACCACACATCAACATCTACTGTTACCATCACAGTTCAAAACACTGTAGGCTATTCTACAATATTATTTCCTCCTATGTAACTGGAGCAACACGTATTATCAGCTATTTTTGCTTGTCAAGGCTGCTATCAATATAAAAAATCTCTTATGATCCACTGTATAACCCTCTTCATGTAACCGGTGCACCAAGAAATATCAGGATGCAAAACTTTTTTCCGTTTTTTTGTGTGTCCTTATCAAAGTAGCCTCGTAACTATTTGATCTTTCAGGGTACAACTGCATTGTTGTACTTCTTCATTTAGCAGGATATGCTGTGACCTGTTTGAAGCATTTTATGGCTTTTTCAGTTATGTTGTTTTTGTGTGTGTTTTCATATATTTTGATTTAAAACATTTGTCAACAGTTATTGTAATGAAAATTTATGAAAAAAAAACTGCATTGTAGGTATATTTGGAGGACTCTGAACCGCGATGGTACTCCGAACCACGATGGTCACGCTGAGGCGCGATGGTACTCCGAACCACGATGGTCACTCTGAGGCGCGATGGTACTCCGAACCACGATGGTCACGCTGAGGCGCGATGATTTGACGTTGAAGTGCTTTTTTGATTACGCTGAAGTGCGATGGTGGCATTGTGACGCTATCTTGTTGATAGCTACGCCGAAGTGCGATTTTGGTAACGCTGAAGTGCGATGGTCTACACAAACTACATTTTCAATGCTTTTCTTGACGATGCAGATGTCAATTTGTATGTTAGAAGCAGTTTTCTAGGTTTTTAAGTTAATAAGAACTGGGGCTTATAAACTTTAAATACTACGATAACGCGGAGGATTGGTGGATAGGGGGAAAATTAAACTTCTGTAGCGATTTTTTTTTCGAAATCTACAGAAGGTTTTTACATACGATGGTAAAGATAAAATGTTAATAGAGAGTTTTGTTCACATGTAGAAAATCAAATAGGACGATCTGTCATTCAGTACGCAACTGTAATTAAGGATAGTCATAGACAATAATAAATGTAGATTGATATACTAACTATTAAAAAAATCTACATGTACTGCTCGAAATAATCTGTAGGTTTTAAACTAGCCATCATGCGTCGGATAGACCATCGCACATCAGAACGGACCATCTCACATCGGCAAAGACCATCGCACTTCAGCGTGACCATCGTACTCCAGCGTTCCTTTGCACCTCCGGATCCTACATATATAAATAACAAAATGTATATATATAATACTAATTCATGACGATCAGTCAGGATTGGCAATGGTATACAATGTAATGTTTTTATAAACATATTCCAGGCTATAACTATTGATAATTTGCCGCACACAATAACAATTCGAGAAGATTTGTATATAGAAGAAAAAATATACGATCTAATTGTAACTGAAGCTACTGATATATGGTATTGTGATATGCTGGATATAAACGATACACCTTTCCTAACAAGACAAGAGGAAGCTGGAGGGCCTAGTACAGGCAAGTATAAAAACAAATAAATTCTAAAAAAAAAATTTAATGCATGAACGAAGAAAGAACACAAAGTAAATTTACCAAATATCGAACAATGTTCGTGTGAGTCTAATTTTTGTAATGTTCTTAAAAGAAATTAAATCGCAAAATTAACACTACACAAAAGTTCATTGTCCATTTAAAATTGACAAAGTCTTCAGTTGCGTTCCTTTTTGGGAGATATTTTTAAAATTTGGCAGGGTCTGCACTGTTTAAACTAAAATAAAAGAGATCCAATCAAAAATATTAAGGCAAATAGTATATACTAAAAGGTTAATTGATTAAACTTATTGGTAGTGATTAATTAACCTTCATTTCCTCTGACTAGTAAAACCAAAATTTGATTCATATTTTTGTCGATCTAAAGTTTACCTTTCTACAAGCCTAGCACCCTAATAATGCCTGCTTTTATGTTTCAGATTATGCAATATATTTGAATCCTTGGCCTCAACTAGACTATGATTCAAACAATAAATACTTATTGACGGTAAAATGTTACGATGATCACGCTACAGCATCTGGAACAGCTACTATCTCAATTCTGAAGAACACAGATCCTGTCTTCAACAATCTTGATAGTGAGTAGTGTATCTGTAATACATACGAAACAATTCGATCTACAAACTTTTAGGAAAACGCGTGGCTCAAACTTAAAATTCATACTTTATTTTGCCTTTTTAACATTTTTGATTTCGAGCGTCACTGATGAGCTTCGTAGACGAAACGCGCGTCTGGCGTGCAAAATTTTAATCCTTATATCTATGATGAATTAAGATTTTGTTCTTCTATTTGTTCATCTTCTTTTTGACATGCAATAAATTTCTTCACGTTTATAGAACATGTTGATTACAAAAATATCATTCACTTTTGAATGCCGAATTCTCCAAACCGTAGAGTATCCTGAAATCCTTTGTCGTAACAAATACAAACAATATTCTATAAATTTCGTGCTTCCAAAGCGGCTTTCTAGATGATGTACCTTCATTACGAGCGCCCAACCCTAAACATTTGGAAGCCAGGAATGTAAAAATACGTAGACACGTTAAAAATGCTAAGTTAATTTGAACTTTGCCCAAAACAGGATGATTATTGATTATAAAGCCACATAAAATGCATGTGTACCAAATTGGAAATATTTGTTTTTTGCACATGAATACACAAGGCTGCCTAGCAACATATGTAAATGAAAATGTCCTGTGTGAAAAATCCATATGCACCATATGTGATATCACACTTCTCTGATTTCTTCATTAATACTTTTCTGGTGTTTGTCAAATCCTTTTGGAGTTTTTGGCCCTCAATGCTCTGCATCTTCGTACTTTATTTGTCCTTTAACTTTTTGATTCGAGCATCACAGATGAGTCATTTGTAAACAGAACGTGCATCTAGCGTACAAAATCATGAGCCTGGTATCTTTGAAGAGTTTTTTTCCAGGCGTACTTCATTTCAGCACTTTCGTAAGTCACATTCATGTAGCCGTATATAAAGAGCGATCCACAGTTTTAGTATTATATATAATTCTTTAGCATGTATTCAATGGTACTTTCTAAATAGTTCCAAATTTGTGCATTTCTCATCACTTGTCGTCCGTCGTCTTCCGTCGTCCTTCGTCCAGTTCGTCCTCCCTCGTCGTTGTCGTCCGTCTTTAATTATATTCTTCAGACACTTATCACAAATTCACCAGATTTGCATTTTTTCCTTATATGATAAAAATTATATTAGGCAAATAGAAAATTTCAATAACAAAAATGATCAGCAAGGCAAGATCCACAAATAAGTCAAATTTTGCCGATAAAGTAAGTAGACTGTCACTCTTCATAGGAGTGACTGCCCTGAAATGAGGAATTTTTTTACCCTCTTCTGAGTGTTGAGCAAAAACTATAGAAAATAGAGAGAAACTCAACAGACAAAATGATCAGCAATACAAGATCAACAAAACAGAGATTTTTGTCATGAATTCTATTCTTATCTGCAATGTTGCCGAGTGTCCATTGTTGAATATGCACATATAACTAGATGAGCGACACAGGCTCTTTAGTGCCTCTAGTTTGTAAATTTTTGTCAGATTTATTTTAGGATGACCCCTCCGATAACTCCCTTTTTTGAATTACGGGTAATCTGCAGTCTTTATCTAAATAGAAAAGTAAAATAATTCCAAATACTAGAACACATCTGACATATCTATCTCATTGTAGTGTCATATGTCACAGTGGCTTTTCTGAAGATATACAAATTTGTCCGACTTTCACAATTTTTGCAATGCATACTCCCACCTGTTTTTAGCACTATTTTCTCATAAAATATCATTGATATATATCATTACCAAAAACTTTTTAACAGATAAAATAGTTACAACGGTGTCGTTATGTATGTATATGTATATAGACATAAGAACAAAAATATGATACATCTTAAATTGACGACAACAGTTACTGTTAAAGTAGTTATATTTATTTTTTCCTGTTTTTGGATTTACTTTGTAAATTTACGACCACAGTAATTAATTGTTGTTTCCTGTTTTTAGATTCAGTGACTGTTGATGCATTAACACAGGTTAACAGTGATATTGTCTTCACTGTAGATGTGACAGATGATGAAGATGACCAGATCATTTTTACAATGACGACTTCACCAGCTGGTGGACCATTTGATATACTTGATTATTGTATGTTACAATTGATATTATTCAGTGATAGTTCACATTCTAGGATTTTGTTGTCAGTGCCTTCAGTATATGATTGAATACTAATTTGACTAGTTACCTATTCAAATGATTATATTTTTCTGTTTTAACCAAAAAGTCAATGGGGTATACATATATACAAGGCTACCTGAACATCTCCAGTCTGTTAGAAAGATACATACGAATGGGAGGTATAAAATTGAGAATGTAAATGTGGAATGTGTCAAAGAGACAACAACCCAACCAAAGAGCAGAAAACAGCCCAAGGCCACCAATGGGTCTTCAACACAGCGAGTAAATCCCGCAACCGGAGGCGGGCTTCAGCTGGCCTCTAAACAAAAAATGTGTACTAGTTCAGTGAAAATGGACGTCACACTAAATTCCGAAACATATAAATAAACTAAAATTAAAAAAACATACAAGACTAACAAAAGCCAGAGGCAAAAAAGCGGCTGAGTTAAACATGTTTTGTGAGATCTCAACCCTCCCCCTATACCTCTAGCCAATGCAGAATAAAAAAAAATACACAGCAATACGCACAGTAAACTCAGTTTAAAAGAAGTCCGAGTCCGATGTCAGAAAAGGTAACAAAAGAAACTAAGCAAAATGACGATGATACATACATTAACAAAGCACTACTAGCAGTTACTACCATGCCAGCTCCAGACCACAATTAAACTGATTGAAAGATTATGCCTTCATCATATGAAAATCAAGCACAATGCCTCCTGTTAGGGGTTTAGTTTCATATCATCATAAAATATATGAGAACATAACCCGTATCATGCCAACAACTGGTTTAGATAAATGTGTTTATTTTCGATGCAAAGACCCTATGATTGAATCAATATTAATACCAAAATATGCCATCTTCAATGACCTGACAACAGTATCGTAACTGTATTCCTTATGAATAAGTCTGTTTAAAGGTTTGGTTATCTTTTGAGGTGAATGACGACATTTTTGTGCTTTGTATAGAATATTACCATAAAAGATTGGATGTGAAATACCTGAATGTACATACGAAGGGGAGGTATGTTTGTTTCATCCGGATGTTTAAATTCAAAGCTAAGCTAAGTTGGAATGCAAACATTAACTTCGATACCCCGTGGCGAAAGAAAATTATCTGACGGGTTAGAAGGTAGCCTTTTATAAAGCCAAATGTCTGTCTGTGTAAAACATTCTCTAATTTTCTAGTGTCAGTTCAAATTTTCCTCTTTTAATCTCTGTCTGCCTTTGTTCCTTCAGTTCATACTGTATATGAATAAGTATAGTTAAGTTTGTTCTTGTCCTTAGGCACTGACAATTCATCTTTTGGGGCATAGACAAACTAAGCAAAACTCCTCAATACAACCCCGCCCCTCCCCGCCCCAAAAAAAAAATCAAGCAACCATTCACTTCTATTTCCCCGTGAAAAATGACAATAAAAGGGCATATATGCCTGCCTTTGTAAATGAAAATTTTATCAAAATAAACATAAGACTTTAAATTTTTACATGCTGCTTCTACACAAAGCTCATGCCATAAGTATAAAGAAAATTCCGCTTGGAGTTAGGTAGTAGGTCTGTCTGCGGGCAGTTACCTTGCAAGCTAGCATGTTAAAAAGTCGACACTGTTACGGTCTTGTACGCAACCGAACTTATACTTTGTTGTCTTTTTATTTTTTTGTATTTTATCAACTTATTATCACCCTGATTAATCTCATTTCTTCATGCTTATATCTGCTGTTTGCTTCTTTCCGGTGTTATCCTCTCATCAACGTTTGAATAAATATCAGGAGTTTCAGATATTGTGGCCTAAAGCATAACCGGAGACATTAATTGTCAAACTGCGCATCTAGTGCAGTATATACGTAGAATTAGTACCGCTTGGTGTTAGAATTTGCTGCTGTTTGCTCCGTATTTATTCAGCAAGATTAACATGTGAATGACTTTAACTAAGATAAATAGTGACTAGATGTTCAGAGTAAAAATGGCAAATTTAAACAGATTTGTAATTTTGTTATCAGATATTTATGGACTATTGGCTCTCTAAATTGATGTCATATGTTATTTTCTTTTTCACATAAATAACCTTCATTGTATTTTTCAGCGGGAAAAGTTGTTTTGACAGAAAATGTATTGCGCCACCACAATAGCTCAACTTATGATCTATCAATAACTGCAGATGACGGTTATAATACCATTGGACCTCGAACACTTACAGTAAACATAAATGGTATGTTCAATTAAATAGCTCAAAGACGAAAAGTAGGAGACATACAAATCAAAATTAGAAATCTTATATCATAAATTGAAAAAGAGCCAACACGTAGGTCATGCGATATAAAAGACAAAAATACAATACAAACAATGCACGGATTTTTCTCGTTCTGTTTTTTTTTATATATATAAATGTTTGACAAAAACGAGGTTTATGTCTAGCATTAATAAATTATGTATTGGCAAATTCACTTGGGAACTCAACATATACCCCACGACAATTACTTAAGAGGAAATCCTGGATAATCATAGGGCTGTTCTATGTTCCTTTGGAATTTAATCCAAAGACGAATAACATGATATTCCTTCTGTGCATTGGATACCTAAATTACAAAAGTTTCCTTACAAACAACGTTAAATTGCTGGGTCTTCCAAGTGCTCCACGAAAACCTCTTTCTAAATTATTAACATCAATTGTATCAGCAATTGAAGCTTGGCGTCAAATTCATTGTAAAACTACCTATTCTAGATGCGGCGTCAATCAGATGTGGATACTAAAAAATTCCAAAGACCTGTTAGAGTACATACAATCTTAGACTTCTTCATCTTGCAATAGTATTAAAACATTTGACTTTTCGACACTTTACACAAATATTCCCCATTCAAAACTAAAAGACTAATTGAAAGAGTTGGTCCTGCTTTGTTTCATAAAAAGTGGCTAACGTGGATACAAGTATCTTGTCTAAGCGCGGGATAAATCATACTTTGTAAGAAATCACTGATTCAAACAAATAATTCTCTAAAACTGACATTATCAAGATGCTTGATTGCTTGATTGACAACATATTTATTACGTTTGGAGGACAGTTTTTTTCAACAACCAATCGGCATTCTCATGAAAACCAACTGTGTTCCTCTTCTTGCCACCTTCTTTCTTTATTCATATGAGGGTGACATCATACAAGAGCTTTTTAGAAAGAATGCAAAAATGCTAGTTTTATCCTTTAACTTCACTTTCCGCTATATAGTTGATGTCCTCTCACTAAATAATTCAAAGTCAGGTGACTATGTTGAACGCATCTATCCCATCGAACTTGACATAAAGGATACAACAGGTACAGTTAAGTCTGCCTTAAATCTTGACTTACATCTAGAAATGGACAATGAGGTCGGTTGAGAACAAGACTTTACGACAAAAGGGATGATTTCAGCTTCCCAATTGTGAACTTTCCATTTATATGTAGCAACATTCCACCAGCGCCTGCATACGGATTATACATCTCCAAGTTGATACGATATTCCAGGGCTTGTGTTTTCTATCATGATTTCCTTGATAGAGAGTTGCTGCTCACAAGGGAGTTATTAAAATCCACAGTTCCAAGTGGTAAAGTTGAAATCATCCCTTCGTAAGTTTTACGGACGCCACTTGAGTTGGTTGACCGTTATAGAATATCTGTTTCACAGATGACGACGGATATGTTCCAATTGTCGTAACAACGATTCCGTTCCCTTTTCCCCGAATTTGACCTACAGAGTAAGACTTTTCACCGGGTTTGTACTTTCACTAGCAACACAACGGGTACCACAAGTGGAACATGTTCTGTTACCCTTCCGGAGCTCCTGAGATCATCCTCCGGTGTTTTGTGAGGTTCCGGTTGCTCAGTCTTTAGTTTTCTATGTGGTGTTATGTATACTATTGTTTTTTTTTTTTTTTTTTTTTGCCATGGCGTTGTCAGTTTATTTTCGACTTATGAGTTTGAATTTTCCTTTGTTATAGTTTGCACAGAATTGACAGAATGAAAAATGAAAACACATGATTTTGTATATGTTTCCGTTGCTTAGAAAGTGTCTGATGATTAGGCGGCTAATTACAGAAAAAAAAAAAACAATTATTTAACAATCAGAAGCGAATGTGATTATTACATCTTGATATTGTCAGCAAATGCCAAGCTCATAAAATTAGGTAATTGTTATTTCAATCCGAACTATGGAACTCCAATAGACAATATTGACTTTATTTTTTGATTATTTGTATCCATTTATGACTGAAATAGTCAAGTTTACATATTAATCAATAGTGGAAAACACTCATCATAGATTCAAGGATTAAAGTTAAAACGCGCGTTTCGTCTTCAAAAGACTCATCAGTGAGGCTCGAATAAAAAAAGTTCAAAAGGTTCAAATAAAGTAAGAAGTTTAGGAGCATTGAGGACCAAAATTCCGAGAGGTTCTGAATAATGTTAAATAATACAAATACAACCATATATAATACAAGCGTTGTTTATTTTTTGTAGACATCAATGACAAACCTGTTTTATCAAATTTACCAGAAAATATGAACTTGTTAGAAAATGCGGCATTATCAACCTCATTATTTACTGTCTCTGTCGATGACCTCGACGCATCAGATCCACGTATTTTTACAGCAACTTTTGCCCCAAGAGAGGCTGCGAAATACTTTTCAATTGATAGTGGTAAGTCTTTGGTCACCTACATAACACCGAATATTCATAAATGTTGCTTTATTTCAGGTTTTAGAAGGTGGGCGACCACCACATCTTTGACTAGTGCACTTTTATCATTCAATATTGCAATTAAGCCTATCAAAGCACAGGCGCCATTTATTTTGATAAGATGTCAAAAGTCTCGAGAATTATATTGAATTGATCGAGTAATTACCTCTGTTAAGAGTATTATTTATCTACCGTATACACTACTTATTCACATACTATGATTAAAAGTATAACTTGCAAACTAACTGCAGTAGTATCTATAATGAGTTTATTTACAACCACTGGGTCGATGCCCCCGCTGGTGAGTTTTAATTCCCCGAGGGTATCACCAGCCCAGTAGTCAGCACTTCTGTGTGGAGAAGAATTATCATTGATATGGTCATAATTATAAATTAACTGTTTACAAAACTTTGAATGATGTCGAGAGTCATTCCAGAAACTCCTTAGTATATCGTTTTTCTAAAAGCATTTCATGCATGTATGTTCTACCTTTTCAGCTTTTGATTTTTGAATCTTTAAATTCATTTTTAGTTAATTCAATTATTGGTGAAGTCACACTTGTCCTATATTCGTAAATGCTGCTGTATCATTCTCACAAAAAGATGTATCCAACATAAATGTTTGTTCATCGTTTCAATAACTGATAGGTTAAACCAAACACACACATGACTTTTAATAAAGTTGTAAGAGTTGGCATTGCTTATTTGATTGCAATAACAGTAACATAAACCGTTATTAATGTTATTTATTGATTTAAAAAAAAAATCTAGATGGAGTAATTTGGACTTCAGCGGTACATAACATAGATTATGATTACATCGAGGACACGTCGATAAGAGTATGGGTAATGGTAACAGATGGAAAAGAACATGATGAACAAGACTTGATGATTATCATTAAGAATCAGAACGAGGCGCCGTCATTTTCACAGACTTATTACTCGATATCTAGAGATGAAAGCAACGTAAGTGTACCAAAACTAAGTTTTAAATTCTTTTTTTACCAGTAGGTTGATTATTTGTACTTTTCGTGTTCAAAGTAAATAATAGTTTATTCTACAATTGAAGTTAAAGGGCAAATATTTACTTACACATAGTAAAAGAGAGGCGTAAGATAACAAAGGGATATTCAAACTCATAACCCGAAAACACAAAACACAAAATAGAAAACTAAAGACTGAGTAACAGTGGGAACATTACATTGAAATAAATTTTGTAAGATGTTTTTTTTAATTCAACACTGAAGTGAAAACAACTAATGTCTACAAAAAATTTAGGCTAATTCATGACAGAAAAATTTCGAAAGGGCCCTTGCTATACACCAGGTTTCTCTGACTGCTCCCAATGTCATTGACAAGAAATAAACGTGTAACATAAAACAAATTTGAATATATTGTTACGGTTCGGGTCTGTAGACCTCAAACGGTTATAAGACTAAAATTGATATTGCGGGACAATCTTGGTATTGGGCTGAAAGTTCTTACTACTGGTATTGTAGACAAAATTACTGGCCTTCGACCATTGGTAGCATGGCTTGTAAAGGCACTGGTTTCATGTAAAACACATAAAACTAATAACAGTCAAAATTAGCTCTGAATCAATTTAATATACATCTATAAGAAATATTTCCCCCCCCTTGAAACGCCAAGCGTCAATCATGGTATTTGCTATTTCGGCTGTAAATGCAGTCTAGACGAGGTAAAATAACCTAGGTCACACAGGATAGTCTATATATTTATACGGGGAACCTACTCAGAATAGTCTGGTGGCGATTTTGAATCAGTTGCGGGTGGGTATGCTCTGGTAAAGTTAACAGGGTGAAAGAACTATAATCCCTGGTATCGGGCTGCTACCTTATAACCAGAGCAGACGAAAGATGCCATTTGTATACTTAGTGCCCACAACTCACATCCTCATGGTATCAGTGGGCAATTCTATGGTACTTGATTGGTTGATTGACCACGGGGTTATATGTTATCATCATCTTCTATTCCCACGCCTGGCACATGCGCGGTTAATGTAAATAAATGGTTGTCTCGAGTACTCGAATGACAAAGTCTGGGAAAATAGGTAAAATGGGACAAGGGAAGATACATCTTAAGGGTGGTTATCCCCTGTTACAATATATAATACCTATATAAAGAAACTATAAATTTGAGAAAGTTGGACAATAACAATGTAGGGAGCAATAAAGACGGGAACATGTGGGGACCCCCTTTTGGTCAAACAGCGAGACGAACTCATACTTATCATTCCCAAAAAATTAATGATATACATACAATAATAATGCTTGGACACGATACCTGTAAAAAAGAAATGTTCATTCAAACAATGTCTCTTGCACGCAAACGTTATCCAGACAACAACGACCTCGAACACTAGTAAAATAATACAGAGAAAGTACAGTGTCTGGATAACAAGAAAAGAATAATCATATCACTTTACATAAATATATCTAGCACCCGTATCCCCTACACTTAGTTGTAACAATATTACGTCATGCTATTCCAATTTCGTACTAACGTGTTATGTCGTTAAAAGGACATAATGTTCTTGTCTATATGTGTCCATATTTGTTTTGCTTTTTGTATCCACTTTTTTTAAGATTCATCTTTTAACCTAAGCCGTATTTGGTAATTATATTTGAAATATTTGGTTCTCAGTGAATTGAGTTCTATGAAGACGAAACGCGAGCAAAGCATTCCAAATTATCATCCTAATATATTTGAGTTTTCAAAGTAGATGTAATTGAACGCTTTAAAAATCATTATAATATCTAAATAAGATAACTATTTTGAAACTCAGTACCATTTGAATTATGGTGGTTAAAATGACTTAAATTTTCACAAGGAAAGACATGAAAGAAGTATCCATAGAAAAACTGGTTATCAGTGCTTTTCAACTTTGTTTTTTATTTGACATTCCAACGGTATGATTCGAGAGACACTGACTGATGAGTCTGATTTAGACAAAGCGTGCTTCTGTACGAACCATTAGATTTTAACGTGTTTTTAAAACATCAACGAACGTGAGAGAATAACACTAGATTGGAAAGCTTTTCAGCATGTTAGGCCAACAATAAACATGATAAAGATTTCAAAACTTCGCGATTTTATCACTATTTAGAATTGTAAATATTTGTGTTAACTCAATGTAATTTGTATTATAGGAAAGTCTGTCATTTCCCTTGACAAGGTATCATACTTATGACCCAGATGTTGGACGAGATGGGGATATCCACGAGTACTCGATCGACTGTGGAACAAACACGTCTAGGTTATCAATTAATAACAACACCGGACAGATAAGCTTCAGAGACGGATATGATCTTGATATTGAAGGAACTCCGACAGATATTAGTTGTATAGTAAATGTCACTGACATCGATGGCTTATCTGACACTTGTGAAATAGCTGTCAATATCAGATATGTTAATGAGTACACCCCATTCTTTCCATATTCACCATGGGCTCCGTTAAGAGAGTATCCAGTGACGGTTTATAGTTATGATATAATTGGCACAATAATAATTACTATCACAGCAACTGACAGTGACCTGACAGAGCATGGTACATTTTATTACTCACTTGTTCAAACGTTCAATGGAAGTGCCGAACTTTTCGGCGTACTAAACAACGGAAGTGTGTATATTAAAAGTGATTTCAGTATATATGACAATGGAGCAACATTTGATGTACTCATGTTAGCCACAGATACTGGTGGTCTCATAGGAACAGCAACAATACAGGTGACTATTCCAGCGCCTACAACTACAACTACTACTACTGAAACGCCTGAACGGTATACGGAAGATATAGTTAATACATCACTTCTATCATTTGGTGTTGTAGGAGGAATAGCTGTAGTACTTTTAATTGGTTACTTGTTATTCAGTTATTTTAAATTACCAACGTGCAATAGACCTAAATGCAATTGCTGGTAAGTGTAAACACTGTAATCTGCCTTTCGCTTTACTGAGTTTAAAAATGCCCAAAACTGCATGTAAGCCAGGATTCTTAAAATGGAACTACGTTCTTTTGAACAATAATTACAATAACGACAACTCATTTCGATAACTTATCTGAATATTTTTTTTTCTTTTTTTTAACATTCCTCATGAATGTAAATCACAAAAGGCGCTTCGGACGAATCAAATTTACAAAGTGCTATTTTCATTTTCATCGTAAGAATCCAGAAAAAATATGCCCAGACGTGGAATGCAAAGTCGATTTTAACTTTTCGTATACAATATCAAATCTGATAAGTCTGCTATTTGAAATTACTACAAAGATAAAGTTGTATAATATTTGTATACTAATTTTGATTTGTTGAACGAAGATTGCAGTGGATATATAGGGTTCACCTCAACTAAAATAATTTAAAAGACCCTCAGGAATAGTATCGTGCATGTACATTTATACATCTTGATAACAATCATACGATTTTGTTGTAATTTTGCCATGACCTTTACACGTTAAATTATTTTAGGCTTTGCTTATTTACGCATGTTACTGTTTAAATTACTTACCTTTATCTCGATTTCAACATAAAACATAACATTGTGTTTCATACAAGAAACTGTTTATATCTTGACAGTGTGAATTGAATTTGAGGGCAATACATGAATTACAGGAAAGGTTTACCATGACGACGCCAATGGTCGAGCTCCGTTTTGCAATTTCTTCAGTTTTATTTATCTTGATTTTTGTATTCGAAATGAATTTACGAGATTTAGTCATCGGTAAACATTTGTTGACTCTATTATAGCTGTATCTTAAGCACCCGAAAATGTACAGAACTTGTTCATGTTAAATGATTAAAAAGCTCAAATTCACAGGGACATTAAACATTGTTGCATGTTTGTATAATGTTTACTTGTAATATATAGCAGACTAAAAATTTTGTACCGAATACCATATGCCCCTGACGTATACTATAAATTCACAAAGGTTTCAATACATTTATAATTGCAATACATTGATAAAACAATAATGCGATATTAGGGTATTAAGAAATGCTGCATTTAACTAATGCTATCAAAAGGTAAAATTTTATTCTTGCGAAAGTGATTTCATCAAAGTTTTCACATCAATAAAAACATCTCAAATAATTTCTTAAGTACAGTATCTGAAAGTAACCTCATGACACTTTATGATTTACTGTGTTTATATTGAGATGTAAATTCCTCAAAAAAGGTCGACATTTGTTATCGCTTATTTTGCGTTTTTTTTAATTGCTATTACGAGTTTTTTTTATTTATAAGTTCATAATATAATGTATCACTTGAAATGTAGGTCAATTTAGACATCCCATTTGATTTGCAATTGATGTTTCGTTGCATATCTTTAACATACCATATTAATCGTTTTTAATGTATATGGTAACGGTTTTTCTAAAACAACACTTTATACCTTTTCTAGTAAACGGAAACCAAAGCGACCTAAACCAAAGGCAAAACCACCACCACTGCCACCACCAGTGTACACACCGATGGAAGCAATGCCGCTGCCAAGAGCAATACAGTTGGAGGAACCGGCAGAAGAAAGAGGTAATAAAGTAAACATTTTGTTAACGATATCAATTTTAGGGTAATAGATATACGTCTATGAGACAACAACTTATCAACAAAATAAACTAGAAAAACTTCAAATTCTAAAATTCTTACGAAATATTCTGAACAATGGAAATCATACGTTTAATTAAAATTTCCAAGATAGGACAGTGATTAGTAAAACTTATATAATCAAGAACGAGTGGAAACCCCTGGATTTGCAAAAAGTTTAGTTTTACGGAAGCATACCATTGACTGTTAGTTTAGGCTTAATTAAAAAAGAAGAATATCAATATGGACAATAGGAAGATGTTGTATGATTGCCAATGTGACAAAAAAAAAAAAAATAAAAAAAATTACGAAAACGCCAAAAAGACAAATAACAGTATACAATACACAACATGGAGAACTAAAGACCAAACAAGATAAAATAAGAATCGAAACAATATTCAGTAATATCTCATGAATAATAATTTAATTGTTTTGTAAAGTAAATATTTGCATCTGTTCTTTAGTTTTCATTACTGGAAAAGATCCCTCAACAAAATTAAAAAATCGGAATAACAGTCGGGATGAAAGAATTTATGAACAGACGTACAGTACAAGTCAGGCAGGTGATCCAAATAAATGGATGTCAACCGTAGACAAAAAAGAAAACATCAATCAATCGGAACATCTCTGAAATGGACCACCACTTTCTACATAAATTTACAGTTCACATTCTAGAACATCTTTGGGACGAACCCATATTCATCGGGCTTGCACTGAATTGGTTCCATCTATGTATAAAAATGATCTTTATAATGAAGTTTACTTATTTGAAATCTTTTAGTTGGTACTTGATTTTTTTAAGAACACGAACGTAAAAACTAAGCATTACATTTATTTCATTTGAAATAAGATAATCGTGAGAATTACAGAATGTATGATAAATCCTTATGACTTCAAAGTTTTGATGATAAATGTTTAAATCCTTTGCATCAAATGACAATGTCCTCTGTACGGAACTGAAATCATATCAGATAGAAAGTATCACATAACTGGTTCAGAAGTCCGTGTCCATTCCAAACAATAGCCAGTCATTTCGCACAAAAGTTACATTAATTGTAACGGCCTTTGAATGGTGAAAACTTCCTTATCAAACGTGGCTGGTGTACCAATAATTGTGTTTGGTGCAATACGAAATTATGTATTGTGCAGAGGGGAGTTGTGTGTGGTGCAATAGGGAATGGTGTAGTTGAAATTGGGAATAGTTTATCTTTAAATGGGGAAAGAAATATGTGGTAACACCTTCATTGTTATTTTGTTCAAAGAAAATATCAATATTTCAAAGCCCACATTTTTTTGTGTAAAAAACCTTATTGTGGGTAATTTTGATTAATGTATTTTCATGTATTTATGATAAGTGAAAGGGGGCAAAGGTTTTAGAGACATGTATATAGCGGAATGGCGATATGGTGCAATTGGGAATGCTTATTGTGTAATTTGGAATGGTTGAAAGATTACGCTGACCACGGATTTAAGCAATTTAAATTGAAATATACCTGGCAATTTTACTCCAATTTGCATTATGATTGTTGAAAAAATCTAACCCACTCCTTTCCACTCTGTCGCCATCCTGAATGTGTATAAATAGAAAGCGTCACTGACGTAGACGAAACGCCCGACTTGCATTCTTAAATAAAAGCTTGGTACGGTAACCTTAATAATCTTATACATACCATTTTCAACAGTATACAAATGTCTGTACAACATGTCAAATTTGAAATATTTTCGAAACTAAAAACATTGTGAGACAGATATATCAAACGTTGTATCAATTGAAAAGAGATCTCGGATTGACAAAGCCATAGCAAAAACACAAAACTCAAAAGACAAGGAAAAATACAAAGGCTTAAGACTGGGAAACAGGAACCCGACCAGACCCCTTTTGATAAAAACAGTTGGTCCAGAAGATTCTGCTGTTCCTTGTCAGTCGTTTCGTTACTCTTGTTTTGGAAGTCATAAGAGTAGATAGTGTATCACTTGATAACGTACTGGCAGATGTGTCTTGTTTTTCTCTAAGACATTGCGATACATATAAATCCGACCCTAATACAATGTACATGACCAAATTCAAGTTTGATAAAATTGAGAATGGAAATGGGGAATGTGTCAAAGAGACAACAACCCGACCATAGAACAGACAACAGCAGAAGGTCACCAACAGGTCTTCAATGCAGCGAGAAATTCCCGCACCTGGAGGCGTCCTTCAGCTGGCCCCTAAACAAATATATATACTAGTTCAGGGATAATGAACTAGTATATATATAGTTGATAGTTTACAACTAAAAAGAAAAAAACATTTTATGTGTTGTAGTACAAAATATAAACAACATTTACTGAAAGAGATCAATTATCTAATCAATAATCAATTACTTCAATATACAACCTAAAAACTAATGCAAATGCAATAAAAACGGATCCTTTTAAAGCAAGACAATAGTGAATTTAAGAGCTGCTAACGGTTTAGCATTTCTGTTCCACAAGTGACATACGCCGTGATGCTCATATCACATAAATTTTTGGCAATAAATCACATTCGGTTAAATGTGTTTTGTTAAATGATATAAAAAGGTAGTATTGTGGTAACGACAAATGAAACATATTCATGGTATTTAACACAGTTTCCCATGACTGTCAACCTACTATTGATGGCATTAGTCAAAAGGTGGAGGACAATAATGTAACTTTACCACCAAGAGCATTTATGTCATTTGTTTCATTGTAACCAATAACCTTAAAAGGATAATTCTGATAAGCAACTCAACTTCAACTGAAGAGTCATATACTATGTATACAGGGGTTGTGGAATTTTGTTAGATATAAATAACTATGGACAATGACGTGCATGAATATCATCGACAATAAATTACAAACGTTTTCAATGAAGCCTTCTTTTTTGTCAAAGATTGGAATATACTCTAACTAGGTATTTCAAACAAAAAATATTTAAAATATACACTCACACTGATAAGTTATTCACACATATGCCCTGAGACTTTTTCACATATTGACCTTATGAATATGCCTATTGTTTTCATCGTAATATTTTTGTTAATTTTTAAACAAAAGAAAATCAATTGATTTTCAGCTTATACTATCAAATGTGTTGCCCTCTACAAGAAATTTGAATAGTAAATAATTTCATTTTTGAACTAACAAACACGACATTCAAAAAGTTACCAACAATCAAGGTTATTAATATTTAATGTTTACATGTATTGTTGGCATGTCAGTTAACTGCTAGTAGTCGTTGTTATTTATGTATTATTGCCATTTTGTTTATTTTCTTTGGTTACATCTTCTGACATCAGACTCGGACTTCTCTTGAACTGAATTTTAATGTGCGTATTGTTATGCGTTTACTTTTCTACATTGGCTAGAGGTATAGGGGGAGGGTTGATATCTCATAAACATGTTTAACCCCGCCGCATTTTTGCGCCTGTCCCAAGTCAGGAGCCTCTAGCCTTTGTTAGTCTTGTATTATTTTAAATTTTAGTTTCTTGTGTACAATTTGGAGTTTAGTATGGCGTTCATTATCACTGAACTAGTATATATATTTGTTTAGGAGTCAGCTGAAGGACGCCTCCGGGTGCGGGAATGTCTCGCTGCGTTGAAGACCTGTTGGTGACCTTCTGCTGTTGTCTGTTTTATGGTCGGGTTGTTGTCTCTTTGACACATTCCCCATTTCCATTCTCAATTTTATTTGCAAGGATACGAACACAATGTTATACTATTGATTTTGAAACATCAGTTCGTTATCTGGTTACAGACCTGTTTGTGACTTGTTCCAATTGTCATATCGAATGTGTTTCTTATGTCCGTAAGCGGTTGACACTGTTTATTTATCAACTTTGAATGCACATATGGCTTCATAAAATATCTATTAATCGAATATCTATACAAAAAATAGCGGCTAGTTTGAATTCAAAAAGAGAAAGATTGGACAAAAATGTAATAGAGTTATGTGATCGTTATCCAAGCTATTTATTTTCAAATGTATTATTAAGCGCGTGGTAAGAAAAATGTTTCTACATTTCTCAGCAATTAAATAAATTCGTATACACAAAACAGATTTTGAACCCATTTTTCCGAATACCGAACTACTGAAGACATCATTATCATTATGGGTTATATGCTGGTGGGGGGCTCTGCATTCCTCCATCAGCCGTTCTGGGACCTTCTATGTTAAACAAAGGTCTAACACGAAGTTGTGGTTCCTCGTTATTTGACGGAGGTTTGTTCACATTGCTGTCATCCCCTAAAATGGAAAACAGAATTTATAAACAAGGACGATATGACAACGCATGTAGTTTGCTTTGCATTCTGAATGTCTAGGTTTTAAACATCAACAAAAGTAACTAAATGATGTTATAGATATCTATTTTGTCATTATCCTATTCAACTAGCCTGGTATCTTTGAATAGTTCTAGATCTGTTTGATTTCATATTATAGGTTAAAAATGATATTCATCGTTTTTACGTGTAAAGAATGATTTTTTGTGGATCAAATCAGTCAATCAAATTGTTCACCCTTGTTCCACTTTCAATGTTGACATTCTAATCCTTTTAATAGTTGAACACGCCTAGTACATGTTTAACCCATCTTTAGCTAAGGGGTTAAATTGAAGGTCACATGAATACGGATTCAATCAGGTAAAAAGTAAAATCACAAAAATACTTAACTCCGAGGAAAATTCAAAAAGGAAAATCCCTAATCAAATGGCAAAATCAAAAGCTCAAACACATTAAACGACTAGTAAGTCAATAATACATCAGCTATGTTTTGAGTTAATTTTGAAAAATTTGGGCCGAACTGACTGCTTATAACGTAATATTATTTCAAAATACTCAAACAAAAATCGTATTTTTTGTCTTAACCGTAGCTAATGCCCATTTAAAAAAAATACGACGAATCATAAGTGTAAAAAAGCTAATGAATGTTATGTTGAAGTATCTATTGGTTACTGTACCTTTGTTATTATCGTTTTTATTAGACTGGTCTACGATTCCGTTTTTAGCCTCGTTTTCAGATACTTGCGGCAAAGTCACTGGCTTAACCTCCGTCACTGGAGGTCTACAAACAAATGTTAAAAAAAAAATAAATAGTAAATATATGTGGCTGCGAATTTTCTCGAGGAAAATATCAATCAATATTTTATGTTCGGTTTGTTTTTCATTGACATGTACCAAACATGTTCTCATCAAAATAAAATACAATTTAAGCCTTCATCTAAAGAAAATTATGGCATATTTGTTTCAAATTTTGCCTTTATAACTGAGATTACGCTTTGTTAAAAGTTTTTAAACGATATATAAACCGCAAGTTAAATTATACCTCGAGCGAAGTAAATATGATATTCAGGGAGGAACATGATGTTTTGTACATTATTATCGGGGAAAGTCAGCTGCGTATTAAGATATCAATGTAAACATGGAGTGGAAATAAATCTTACTTTCTCCTGATATATCTGCATGCAAAAAATATCGCTACGAGTAAACAAGCTGCGCCTACAGCTGCTGCTATTTCATATGCAACCATGTTCATCCTGTACTCAAAGAAAGTCAATGGCTTTTCTGTTGTTGTACTTTCTACAATTGATGGTGGAATGGTTACATTAATTGATATTGTTGTGAACAGGCCACCAGTGTCTTCAGCTTTTACTGTCATGAGTAACATGTGTCCATTCGGATAAAAGGCAATCAAATCTTTATTAACAAATATGCTGCCATTTTGAAATATTCCAAACAATTTTTCAGCGTTGATAATTTCATAAAAGAATACCCCGTGATCCCCTAAATCTTGATCAGAGGCACTGACAGAAAGAACTATTGTACCGACTAGTTCTGTGTATAAAACACTAATATCATACGACGATTGTGTAAATGTTGGAGTAAACTCGTTTACATAATCAACACGAACGTCAACAATGCACGTGTCAGTTAATCCACCACTGTCAGTGACTGTGACGGTACAGGTGAAATCTGTCGGGTTTGAGGCATCATCAAGATCATAATCCCCATTGAAAGAAAAAATTCCTGTAGTTGATGAAATGGCCACTCTGCTGTCGTCTGCTCCACAGTTCTTTGTATATATCATAACATCATTCACTGAAGCTATGTCTGGATCATCAACATCGTACCGTATCACAGGAAAGGAATCACCAGACTTTAAAGAAAACCAAATGAGTTTTTATTTCACATTGTATATATTATGGGTTTTATTCTCACTTCATGTAATTATAGCTTCATGTAATTATAGCTTCATGTAATTATAGCTTCATGGCAAAAGGTATAAAACAAATACAGCATACATCATTTAGACGGAAAGCTGATTTAAAGACATATTGTTTTAGTGTAGTTGGGTTGCTGTATAATTTGAGTAAACCACACATCTTCAGTCTGTTTCATTGATTGGTTTATCAGATCGTAGTTGTAATGAAGAATCATGGATATAAATCTGGTATTTCATTTTTCTTAACGTTCTTATTCATCGTTTCAGAATTCAGTGCATTCCCGAAAATATTTTCATAGTCGAAACCGACATATTGCGATTTGCTAATAACTTTTTATGCAACAAGTTTGATGAATTAACAAAAAATTACAATACTCTTTTAGAATATGAGACTAGTAATTACTTTAAAGATGCACATTTTGAAGAAAATTGGTATAAACTTAGTTCGTAATATATTTGTCAAATGATCCTGGTTGAGGGTTGTCTCATTGTCGAGCATACCACTTCTTCTTACTTTTATATAAAGAAAAAGGTAGAATTATCGCGATCAATTCCTACGCCTGTACAAAGATAGATTGATTAACGAACCTGGCATCGTCAACCTATAAATAATGATTATTGAACTAGAGTCAGCTAAATATAAATAAGAAGATGTGGTATGAGTGCCAATGAGACAACTCTCCATCCAAGTCACAATATAGAAAAAGTTAACAATTATAGGTCAAAGTACGGCCTTCAACACGGAGCATTGGCTCACACCGAACAGCAACCTATAATGTCTATTTTTTAACTAATATATCTATTGCACACTTTTGCTGTTATTTGACACACTATATACAGGCAAAACTATAAATAATTTTGATCAATTTTATTTTGTCTAACTTTTTCTCGTTAAAAGGAGTTCACAAAGCAAATTGAAACACCAACTCGATGTATAACTAGACATAACATAAACTTATCAACCAACAATATGTTCAATATAAATACATATAACAACGATTGCTTGATCATCGATATACAGAAAGGCGAAAGGATGGGATTGGTTTGAGGTCAGGTTGGCGAACATCGGTATACTGTTTACTTTAGGTCACTGAATAAAGGCAACAGTAGTATACCGCTGTTCGAAATTCATAAATCGATTGAAAAAAAACCAAATCCGGGTTACAAACTAAAACTGAGGGAAACACATCAAATATAACAGGAGAACTACGACACAACAGAAACACAACATTAAAATGTAACACACACAGAAACGAACTATAATATAACAATGGCCATTTTCCTGACTTGGTACAGGACATTTTAAGAAAAAAATGGTGGGTTGAACCTGGTTTTGTGGCTAGCCAAACCTCCCGCTTTTATGGCAATGTTAAATATAACAAATAGAATTTAATAAGCAAGACGCGCGTTTCGTCCACACAAGACTAACCAGTAACGCTCAGATAAAAAAAATACGAAAGCCAAAACAAGTACAAAGTTGAAGAGCATTGAGGACCAAAAGTTCCAAAAAGTTGTGCCAAATACGGCTAAGGTTATATGTCTGGGATAAGAAAACCCTTAGTATTTAGAATAATTCATACTTTTGCAAACAGTATATTTATAAAAATGACTATATAATAGATATACATGATAACACCGAAGTGGTGACTTACTACAGAATAAAACGGATACATAAAACAACATAAACCAGCACATAAAAATTCACAGCCGAGTTAGCCAAAGAGATCAACGCAAAAAAAGTGACGTCGCATTTGAATTTCTGAAATTTCCCCAAAATAGGATAGAATTAGGATAGCATTCAAGATTTGGTTTATAATACTCATATAACATTTATTTTAAATAACAATGAAAATGACAATACTAATTAATATAAAATGTGGTAGTAATTAGATAAATAATAGTATTATCTAGCTATATCGGTGAACGATGGGGGCATAATTATAAACATATATGATGACTGCTTATCATATCTTAACTATGTGTCACATACTATATCTCACATTCTTTATGTGTCTGTCCCAAGTCACGAGCAGTCATTGGTTCGTGTCTGTCACATTTTTTTTGGTTCTTTGTATGATGTACATAAGGCCGATAGTTTTCTCAATTGAATTGTTTCATATTTTTCATGTCGGGGCCTTTTATAGCCGACTATACGGTATGGGTTTTTCCGAAGGCTAATTGTTGAAGGTTGCCTATAACTGTTAACATCCACTTTAATTAAACTTAGGTGGAGAGTTGTCTTATTGGCAACCATACCACATCTCCTTATTGTTATATATGTGCAGTGGTAAGAATGTTAATTAACTCACCACTCCCTCGTCCCTCATAATTTTGAAATATTTTTGTGCTATCACCGGGGTTTCATATTCATTACCAATATTAACAATCAAACGTTGCGTGTCAAACCATTTTCCGTCAGATACTGTGATGAAAATAGCGATTGAATGATCACTGATGACGTCATAATCAATATTTGCTGACGTCAAAACTTCTCCAGCTATAATAACAATGACATAATACAACATTAATTTATCATTACGATGTGATAAAATTATTAAGATTGGTAATTTAAGTTATTAATCATCAAACGTAGATAAAACCCTAAAAAACGAATACATTTAGTACATCTTCATATAATCATATATTAATAACATAGAGGAAATTGAAATAAATGTTGTTTATTATTATATACCTAGTTTAATGAAATATTTAGTGACGAACCACGATGTACACCAGTCACTCTTATCACTAAGACAAAAAAAAGGGGGGGGGGGGGGGGGGGGGGGGCGTAGCGTATCACAACATCGGATTCTATTTGTGTTTACATTAAGGAAGGTATTCCGTCATGTATTTCTCTTATTCAACGTCCGTGTTACGCTATACTTTTGGTCATTATCCAATATATTAGCTTATCATCTTTTATAGAAGTTGTTTTTCCAAATGTATGGCCTCTAGCCTTTGACCATCACTGAAGAGATAATTTGTTGAATGTGCATCTGGGGCTGTTTACAGTCTCCTAGTATTGATAAACTACTGTGAAGATTAATTATGATATGCCAAGTCAAATGCTTTCCCTTTTTAAGTACATGGTATGTGATATTTGAATCATTATTGTTTATCGACTTGTTTTCTATTTTACCATGTAGTACAGTTTTTCTGAGTAATCAACTTGAGCTTATATCTAACTTGGCAATAATTTGAGTGGGTAAAACAATATCAATAAGAGATATAATTGCCAATGAGACAACTATTCACTATTTGGAGACCAAAGAACGAGGTTGTAAGCATTTAAATGTGAAACGTTAAGGATGTAGTCAGGTGAAATTAAAATAATCTGGAATTCAAAATTGAAAGAAAAGAAATCTAGAATCTGCTTTAATTTTGGTGACGCCTTTTTATGAGCTATTGGCGTCTTCTATGAAAAGAAAAGAGGGCGATTTAGGAAAAAATATTTTACTCTGTAACGTAGGGAAAATCCCAAGGAGTCGGAACATCTAATTCCTACTCTAATCCTGAAATGACTACATCCTTTTAGTGCATTTTTGCATTTTTAGCTCACTGGGGCCCGAAGGGCCCCATGTGAGCTTATGCCATCACTTAGCGTCCGTCGTCGTCCGACGTCTGTCGTCGTCTGTCGTCGTCGTCTTTTGTCGTCTGTCGTCGTAAACTATTTCAAAAATCTTCTCCTCTGAAACTACTGGGCCAAATACCTTCAAACTTTAATTAAATGTTCCTTAGGGTATCTAGTTTATAAATTGTATCCGAAGTTTTGATCCATCGACAAACATGGCCGCCATGGCTAAAAATAGAACATAGGGGTCAAATGCAGTTTTTTGCTTTTATCTCAAAATCTAAAGCTTTTAGAGCAAATAATATCTTGAATATTATTATAGATAGATATAAACTGTAAACAGCAATAATGTTCAGCAAAGTAAGATCTACAAAAAAGTACACATGACCAAAATTGTCAATTGACCCCTTAAGGAGTTATTGCCCTTTAAAGACAATTTTACACAATTTGTTCAATAAGTTTGCTAACATTTAAAAATCTTCTCCTCTGAAACTACTGGGCCAAATACCTTCAAACTTCATCTAAATGTTTCTTAGGATATCTAGTTTATAAATTGTATCCGAAGTTTTAATCCATCGACAAACATAGCCGCCATGGCTAAAAATAGAACATAGGGGTCAAATGCAGTTTTTGGCTTATATCTCCAAAACTAAAGCTTTTAGAGCAAATCTGACATGGGTAAAATTGTTCAATTGGGCAAGATCTATCAGCCCTGAAATTTTCAGACAAATCGAACAACCCATTGTTGGGTTGCTGCCACTAAATTGGTAGTTTTGAGGAAATTTTGCAGTTTTTTGCTATTATCTTGAATATTATTATAGATAGATATAATCTGTAAACAGCAATAATGTTCAGTAAAGTAAGATCTACAGAAAAGTAAAATGACCAAATTTGTCAATTGACCCCTTAAGGAGTTATTGCCCTTTAAAGACAATTTTACGAAATGTGTTCATCAAGTTTACTAACATTTAAAAATCTTCTCTTCTGAAACTATTGTGCCTAATACTTCTTAACTTTGAATGAATGTTCCTTTAGGAATCTAGTTTTTGAATTGTATCCGAAATTTTGATCCATCAACAAACATGGCCACCATGGCTAAAAATAGAACATAGGGGTGAAATGCAGTTTTTGGCTTATATCTCAGAGACTAAAAGCATTTAGAGCAAATCTGACATGGGGTTAAAATGTTCAATTGGTCAAGATCTATCAGCCCTGAAATTTTCAGACACACCGAACAACCCATTGTTGGGTTGCTGCCACTAAATTGGTTGTTTTAAGGAAATTTTGCAGTTTTTGGTTATTATCTTGAATATTATTGAAGATAAAGATAAACTGTAAACAGCAAAAATGTTCAGCAAAGTAAGATCTACAAAAAAGTACGTATGACCAAAATTGTCAATTGACCCCTTAAGGAGTTATTGCCCTTTAAGGACAATTTTACACAAGTTGTTTTGTGTTTTTTAACTTTAAAAATCTTCTCAAATGAATCTAGTATAAATTTTGTATTTCATTTCCTTGTACGTCAAGAAACATAGACACTATGGCTAAAATGGAACATTAGATAAAAAGCAAAAATAATCATTGATGAAAGATTTAAGCAAAAAAAAATAACAGGTGAGAGATTCAGGCTCTTGAGAGCCTCTTGTTTTCCTCCCTAAAACTATTACTTACTATTTGGATTTACTGTAAATAATTTGGCGCCATACGATGGATTAAACTGAGCATAATACTCAAGTACATCAGTATCCACTGCATTAGGTTGAAATACAGTCGTTCCTACTGCTACGTTTTCTGTGATACTTTCAGATGTAGGTAAATTGGTGAACGTCGGGTCAACATTTCTATCTTTAACAGATAAAGACAGAACACATAAGTAAATTGGTTAACGTCAGGTCAACAGTTCTATCTTTAACAGATAAAGCCAGAACACTTAAGTAAATTGGTTAACGTCAGGTCAACATTTCTATCTTTCACATATAATATAAGAAAAAAATAGGTAAATTGGTGAACGTCGAGTAGACATTTCTATCTTTAGCAGATAAAGTAAGAACAATTCAGTAAATTGGTGAACGTTGGGTCAACATTTCTATCTTTAACATATGAATTAAGAACAGTTAGAAAAAATGGTAAACGTCGGGTGAATAATTCTAGTATCTTTAACATATAAAGTAATTTTGTAAATTAGTGAACATCGGGTCGACATTTCTATCTTTAACATATAAAGTAAAAACAATTTTGTAAATTGGTGAACGTCGGGACAATATTTCTATCTTTAATATATAAAGTAAGAACAATTTTGTAAATTGGTGAACGTCGAGACAATATTTCTATCTTTAACATATAAAGTAAGAACAATTTTGTAAATTGGTGAACGTCGGATCAATATGTCTATCTATAACACTAATAATATTCAGTAAGTTAATTCGGAATTTAAACATTTGAATCATTGATCCTGCCTAGACATGCAATGCGTTAATCTTCAAATGCTCCTATTATCTAGATTATCACTCATATACCATGTATACTATCAATAAGTATAAATCTATTTATTTTTTGTCTTTTTCTTTTTAAGTTGTTTAAATTTATCAAAGACAAGTTAAAACATCATGTACTGCAATGCTAGTTGTAATTCCACATTATAAATAACTAGCAGAGGACAAAGCCAGCTCAGTACGAAGTCTTATGATTTGTGTTGCTCGGTTGTACTTTGTTTGTTTTATTAATGTACTATCGTTTGTGTGTTATTTGTATACTATTGTTTGTTTGCTATAAGTATGGTCTAGTGTTTGTGTGTTATTAGTGTACTATTTTTTGTGTGTTATTAGTGTAGTATTATTTGTGTGTTATTAGTGTAGTATTATTTGTGTGCTATTAGTGTACTATTGTTTGTGCGTTATTAGTGTAGTATTATTTGTGTGTTATTAGTGTACTATTATTTGTGCGTTCACTTATTAGTGTAGTATTATTTGTGTGTTATTAGTGTAGTATTATTTGTGTGTTATTAGTGTAGTATTATTTGTGTGCTATAAGTGTATTATTGTTTGTGCGTTATTAGTGTATATTATTTGTGTATTATTAGTGTAGTATTATTTTTGTGTTATTAGTGCAGTATTATTTGTGTGTTATTAGTGTACTATTATTTGTGCGTTCACTTATTAGTGTAGTATTATTTGTGTGTTATTAGTGTAGTATTATTTGTGTGTTATTAGTGTAGTATTATTTGTGTGTTACTAGTGTCCTATTGTTTGTGTGCTTTTAATTAAATTTCTGTGTCATTCGGTCTCTTGTCGAGAGTTGTATCATTGGCAATCATACCACATCTTCTTATTTTTTTAGTGTTCTATTGTTTGTTTATTCGTCCAATTCTCCTGGCTAAGTTGTTGCCAATTTTTGTTTGACTTATGGTTGAAAATAACCCATGGTACCTCTTCTTCTTTTATCAGATTGTGTAAAAGATAACACCACTTACTGTTAATGGTAACAGTTACTGTCATTGCATCAGAATTACCACGGTTATCTGCTACAGTTGCTGTTAGTGCATAACTACCCTGAGCATGACGTACAAGATTTTCTGTTAATACTATCTTACCAGCTGAAAAAAATATTTTGAAAACGATATGTTATGCTGATTTAGGTTAAAGGCAACAGTAGTTTACTGATGCTAAAAAATAACAAGAACTGACGCATGCATTCAAAAAGGATCGCGACTGGGTCATCGACGTGGTATAAGCGTCTCGTTTTATGCAAGGATCAGCCGCTTCATGCGAAGCTACACTGAATCAAAATTTCACAATCGGGAATAGAACATTATCGGTAGATTTACAGATCAGATGACTATTCTGGTATACAAAGAAATAAGATTGATTGATTGATTATTTGTTTGGTGTTTAACGCCACTTTCAGCACTATTGTGCTATTTCGTGGCGGTCAGTTTATATTGGATGGAGAAGCCGGAGTGCCCGGAGAGAAAAACAGACCTTCGTAAAGAAATAAGACCCCAAAAATATATCTCTGTATAAATAAGTTCCTATATTACTCGTGACCATGTTTCTGTTACAGCTTAAGCTTGACGTTTGATTGATGAAATGATCAAGAAAAATAAAAATGTTATAAATAAGAACGAATAATAAGGAGGAACAAATCATCGCAAAATGACAGCTCCAAAGCAACAGCTTTTGGATAGGTCGCATTTTAATTGTCTCTACGATAAACCAATCTTTTGCCACTATTTGATATATTATCTTACCGTCAGTAATTGTAAATGGTCCTCCACCAGCAAGGGTAAATGTAAATGGATCATTTTCTGGATCTGTAGCAACTACCGTATAAACCAAGGTACCAGTCCAATCCGTTACAGCATCAAGCGTTACTGTTGCTGCGGTTAAATAAAATAAACAGTTCTTACATACTTTAAATCATAGCAAAGTATGGTTATAAGACAATGAATGATCTTGATAATTAATTAAGTAGTCATTGAGCAAATGTTGTAGTTTTGAGAACAGAGATTTAAAGTTAAAGAGGGGACTTTGACATTACATTTGTTACATGCTGACGTCAATAAAAAGCACAATCTAAATATGAAATACTAGTATAATTTAACCTGGTCTTTATTTAAAGAAAAGAAAAAACCAATAATGAAATGCAGCTAGACGTAATGTAATTTGAAAATAGAAAATAACCATTCAAAATGTGCTGCGTCCTAGCCGCTTTTCTAGATTTACTTTCGAAAGGGAACCCTCAAACTCAAAATTTGAAAGCCAAAGATGTATAAGTACTTGATTAGATGCGGACTATATGATCACAGGGGACATAAATAAATATCCAAATCAACCTCATGTCAACTTTGACTGTTGGGGTTTCTAAATTTATGAATGAAGTAAATTTACCTGTTGCAGTGGCAATTGACGGACCACTATTTGGTGAAACATTTACTGTAAAGGAACCGACACTAACACTAGCGGGTGATGACGAATGCGCTTCTATACATTCTGCAGTTAACGTATAACTTGGTGTCGTTGCTGCGTTCAACTCTGGCCAATCTTGAAGGTATAATGTATAACCTAAAAGGAGGTAATGAATGTAAGATACAGACATGTCTAAATCTACAATCTTCAAAATTGGTTCTTAATGTTTAAAAATATACTCTTGTAATAAAACATATGTTTTACCTCTCAGGGAGGTACTAGTACGCTTAAAGATTTATGTGATCAAGAAATCTTGAAATACTCCGACACAAGTATTATGTTAACATCTCTAATGATTTCTGACATGGCTATTTCTTTACTCATCCCAAAAGGCCGAAACGTTGGTCCCGTTGCAAAAAACACCAGCAAGGGCTCTTGTTCGTTCAGATGGCCACACACGCATTGCATTAAATATCTAAAATCAATGCACTACGACCCATAGACTAGTTGTACGGGTGTACAACACTACTAAATTCGGAAGGCTTCTTAAGATTACTAGTAATTTACATTTACAGTTATATTTTACAACAATAAGTAACCAGTAATCTCTTTGAAAAAGAAAACAAATTCAAATTCAAAGAACAACATAAACATGAATATCAACATGTATTACATAATTTCAAACACAATAACTAGAACTGTCATATAAACACTTATCATCTCTTTCATTTGAAGTCAAAATCCTTTTAGACGAAGAATGCACATGATGGTGTTTGCCTAACGCCCAGTAGCAAACATTTAATGCATATTTAGGACATGGTATGAATTAAAAAGTACATGTACCTGGATATAAGCTATTGGCCTGTCTGACACTAAATGGATAATTAGAATCGCTGGTCAGGTAACAATAATAACCGTCATTTGGTTCTGTTATTAGAATATTCGTTAGATTTGTTTCTAAGTTATCATCTTCAGAAATAGTTACTGAAGTTCCGGTAAATCCACCCGAAGTAATAGCCTATAACATGATAAAAAGCATTTTTATGTTTGATTGTAATGATTGATTTATACTATACACTGTATCAAAATATACAATTTATTGTTACACAGCTTAGATACAGGTAGAATGCGAGGCAGTGCCGACTATTTCTATCATGTTATGAACCGAGTACAAATACAGTTACATTTTATTTTTTTGTTCTCTTTACACTGCAACTCTTATTATAGTTCCAACCTGAACCATGTTTTAATAAAAAATTCCGTTAACCTGCATCTTTTGGTCCATCATAGAGACAAGTCTATGTTTACACATCATTAACATCACCGTGGAACAGAATATTTTATACGACCAATGTGTTTCGACTGTGTATACGATTGCTGACTCTGAGAACTAGTATCAAATCAGAAAGTTCCAAAAAAACGTCATTGTAACCAAAACTGCTGGTAGAGTTAACGATACCAACAAAACTAAAATTAGCAATTATACCAACAAATAAACTTAGGCAAAAAAACATGTTTAACCCCGCCGCATTTTTGCGCCTGTCCCAAGTCAGGAGTCTCTGGCCTTTGTTAGTCTTGTATCATTTTTAATTTTAGTTTCCTATGTATAATTTGGAGTTTAGTATGACGTCCATTATCACTGAACTAGTATACATATTTGTTTAGGGGCCAGCTGAAGGACGCCTTCGGATGCGGGAGTTTCTCGCTGCATTGAAGACCCATTGGTGGCCTTCGGCTGTTGTCTGCTCTATGGTCGGGTTGTTGTCTCTTTGACACATTCCCCATTTCTATTCTCAATGTTATGGTATTATTTGTATGACAATGTTGAAGCAGATGATTAGGGATATGTATGTACGTCAATGACGTTACAGCCCATACTAGTATATACAAAAATCAGGGGGTTTCCGGTGATAATTAAAGTACCGCTTGAAAAAAATCTTTTTTTTTTTTAGATTTGATCACAAAGAAATAAACTATAAAATGCAATTCAGTTTCGGGTTTGGCATTTACCATTGATTACATGTGAAGCGTATTTCTGACGAATTTTGCATTTTCTGATTAAAAGATATTTACATGTACCCCCTTATTTGTTTTTAGGATGATGATAGGTATTTCACTTGAGTGAATCATTTTGAATTTGAACACAATGCCATTGGGGGTAACGAACGCCCATTTTCTTATATCAAGGAATCCTTAGGTATAAGATCTTGTTTTACAATATATTTGTAATGAAATGAAATGAAGACAAGTGGATATTATATTTTTATTAAACTATGAGTTCATTCATTCTGCTTAAACACCAGTATTTTGGAAATGAAAGTATTTGGTTTACTCTATTTGTTAGCATTTGTTTGATAACCGTGTTGCCTTAATTCTAAAATAAAACTTACAGCATATATATAAGTCAATTATCATATATGACAATCCATAGTTTTTCTTACCACATTTGCAACTGTTACCGTAACAACTGTTGTAGCTGTATTATAGCAGTCATCTGTTACCATTGGTGTGATAGTATAAGTGCCTTCTGGTATATTGGTCTGTAAAGTCTTCACTTGTCCTGAATTAACATGAAAATTCCAAGCATAACTACATACAAAGTATGCTAAACTGGTGCGTAAAAACCAAAAACCTATTTAGTAAACAATCGAAACTCAGATTAAAACGTTAAGTCTCATTTAACTATGAAGTGTTTATGATTCTACAGCAAATAACACCTTCAGAGACTTTCGATCTTTGAACAGAATTATGCAGTTTCCGGTCTCCTGAAGGATTGATATCCTTATTGGTATGAAAATAACAACCTTGAAAACAATTGTCTTACGCATGCAAATGACTGTCAAGATGACAGACTTCAAGGGGGAGGGAAACCAAAAGTATGCACACATTTTCAATCATTAATTATTTTTACATATATGCTTATTATATATGTACCTGTCCCATGTCAGGAGCTTTTAATAATCTGGTTGTCGTTTGTTGCTGCTCGTCGTATTTGTCTTTCGTTTATTGTTTTGCAAAGTTTGTTCTTGTGTTGTGACGTTGCACCATTGTGCCAGTTTAGGGGAGGGTTGAGCGCCCGCTAACATGTTTAACCCCGCCACATTCCGTTTGTGCCAGGAGCTTGTAATTCAGTGGATGTCGGTTGTTGCTGTATATCATATTTGTTTTCCGTTTTGTTTTGAGTAAAATCAGGCCGTAAGTTTTCTCGTTTGAATTGTTTTGCTTTTGTAATTTCGGGGCCTCGTTTGCTTGCTGTGCGGTATTGTATTTGCTCATTATTAAAGGCCGTACTGTGACCCATAATTGCCAAAGAAAAGAGGGACGAACGATACCAGAGGGACAGCCAAACTCATAGATCGAAAACAAACTGACAACGCCATGGCCAAAAATAAAAAGACAAACAGACAAATAATAGTACAGATGACACAACATAGAAAACCAAAGACTAAGCAACACGAACCGCACCAACAACTGGGGGTGATTTCAGGTGCTCCGGAAGGGTAAGCAGATCCGTGCCAACTTTTACGTCATTTGGACTCCGATGGAGAGTTGTCTCATTGGCAATCATACCCCATATTCTTATTCTTATATAATAGCATTTTAAATAATTTTTCTCTGAGTTGTAAGTAGCATTATAAACGTTTAACTTAAACTATTAAGAAATACCCAAATCAACATCTGCGAGTCTTAGATCCTTATCATTAAGTTATCCACAAAAAGATAAATGTATCGTTAGTTCAAAAAGGCGAAGACGAATGTACAAAAAATGAAAATTTTGTTATTCTATCCTGTGATTAGAGGAATGGTGCGTCAATCTCGTGGACCTACAATAAATGCACACGAAACAAAGTCTTAAAAATTAGGTGAACAACTATAACGTAATTTACGTACAATATAGGTCCATGTTTACGCCTGTTGTCAAAAAACAATCGAACCCGAAATGAAATGACTGGTGAATTACGCCGTCTTAGCTATTTTGTTACTGATATCGTTTCAGCTGATTGTGCATGTGTTTGATTGGTCAGTATTTTTAATTCCTTTTGACCTTTATTTGGAATCATCTGATATATTGAAAATGCACTTTTTATACACAAACTCAACTTTACAATTTAGAGCATTCGTAATTAATTTGGTTTGGAAAGAAACTTTATCCATTACATACGATACAAATTTCCTCTGTAGCTAAACACAGACTATTATTATCTTTATTGAATCATTTCTATCATTTTCTTGTATCAATTTTGTCTGTTTTGTGGGGTAAAAAACTCAAAGAAATGTTATAAGACTTGATGACATATAATTGTACAATCATAACGAAGATATCACATAACCACAAAGAGCAGAGTTGGAAACAAAAGGTCGTATATAAAAAGATAGAAACCCATAAATATATCCTCGCTTATCTTGTATCATTAATTTATGTCTTTACTTATATATCATAACATATTTATTATATATTACCATTGTTAGTATCAACGTAAAAATATGCGTTGTCATTCGCTGCTGTAGAATACACAATAGTGTCGCCACCGTCGTCGGAAACAGTCAGAGAGAGAATATTTGTTTCTGCTGGTGTGATGTCATCTATCTGCACAGCCTCTGTGGTTCCAAATGTAAATGTTGGTAATGTACCTAGAATATGAAAATTATCCTTTATAGAATGTTTTCATTTCAGATTTTATATTTTCATGAATGATTAAAGCATGTTTTGTCACTCCCGTGTTTTGCATCCCAGTTATGCATTAATATTTTTTGCGGAGCAACCCTTTTCATTTCTCAACATTTTTACACATGTAACACGTACATTTCATATACTCTTCTTAATTGTATATTGATATTATGAAATTCATGTCATTTCTAATATATTTGCCATACCGTTTACAAGTCGTGTATTTAAAAAAAAATAACAGAAAAAATAAACAGAAATTCTGGTATAATGCCCTTTACTATTCTTTTATAGATAATAGTTAATTTTTCTATTTTAATATTATACACCTATTGACTGGTTATGAGGGTAATAGCAAGTTTGTTGATCCTGAGATACCAACTATTGCTCGAGGCGAAGCCGAGGGCAATAATTGGTATCAAAGGGACAACAAACTTGCTATTACACTTATAACCAGTCATTAAGTGTTTTATTATACCGAACAAAACAACTTTCAAAAGACTACATAGTTACACCACTTGGAACAAAAACCAAATAGTCACATAAACATGCACAAGATGAACTATCGGGCTTTTTTTCCACCGTGTGATATTTGTCAATATTTTATTTACTTTAATCAAGATCAGAATCCTTGTGTAAAAATTCCCGGGCATATAATACACGTAAGCTAAAATATATAACCATGCATACACCAAAACAATCCCAGATTATGAAGACGACTACAGACCCATACCATATATTTGTTATGTTTTAGTTCTTAAAATATGTCATGTAGATTTTCTTTTTCTTTTTTTAATTGCTTCTGGTAAGTAATATATTAACATGAAATTACAACGACAGACACATACAGATTATACCGTCTACGATATTTCAGAGTTTAAAGTTGCAAAGCACATGCACAAATCGAAGCAGAATAATCAATGACGTCATTATTGTCCAATGAAAAATGAGTATGAAAAAGTACGGGAAATATGTTTATTAAACTATTGACCTGGGTAATAGTCTTTGAAACTATTGACTGGCAAATACATGTAGTCTGTGGAATGAAATAGCACAAATATTTCATTCTTTTTATATAGAAAAAACATACTGAGGTGTAATAATGATATTTGTTAACGTTTGCGTGATCAATTTTCCTCGTGTTGGTGATGAAATTTTTTTTTAAATCAAAGAAAGAGGTAAACATTATTTTCCTTCAACTGATGTGCAATTATAAATGTTTTATTGATAAATGCATCTAAGTTTTATTTCAAAATGTAATTACTGAGTATGTTTATGGATAACAAGTATGTGAAACTAATTAATCAGTTAACAGAATATTTTAAGAATTTAGAGTCCATGAAAGAATAAAAATTGAATACAGATACATGTAAATATATAATTTACATACTGGCTACTGTTGTTGCTTTTATTGCAAATTTAAGTGCAGTTGCGAAGGTATTTTCAGAAGCCCAGTCATGAATACTGCCGACAGCCAGGTCCGTTATCGATGAAGACCGACGATTGGTGACTGGATATCCACTTGAAGCAGCATGCATTATGATATTTGGCGATGAATACCTAGGGGAAAAATGATAGATGAAAGAATTATATTATCCAAAACATTTATATTATCTTTCAGGAATTAGGCTATGGCGAAATAGGTTGTATACTTAACTTGTGTGTAACTAATTTAAATTTCATATAACCTGAATCAGGTACAAAAATGAGGCAAAACGTTCTTATAGTAAAAACATAAAACATATCAGTTATCGTAATAATTGTAATCTTGAGCAAAAACGACCAGAGTAACTTAGACCTCTCCTCAAAAAAAAAAAGAAAAAAAAAAAGAAAAAAAAAAAAAAAAAAAAAAAAAAAAAAAGAAAAAAAGCTAAACTAAACTAAATTAAGCTTAACTACCAAAATTAGCTTTGCCCGAGGGAGTTACAGTGCTACTGTAAGTTATTAAAAAAAAATCCGTAATCATGTACAATAATATGATGACCTTACCGTCTCATTTTATTTTACCATTTGATTAATTGACCTACATCAGTAACATGTGGAAGTTTACCAAAATCAATCGGATTTGTATGAATTCTAATTGGAAACAAGACCACGTCTATCGACATAATATGCATTTCATTCTACGAACACAAGAGAATCCTGATTAGGTTTACAGAATCGTAAATAATTGATGCAGAAAATTATGAATGGAAAAAATAGGACATAAACAATTCAGAAGAAAGAGTTCCAAAACATAAATAATAGAGAAATCGAGTAATGAGCCCCTTAAATAATGAAAAAAATACAAATTACAAAAACAATACCATGTAGATCCTCTTGCATCATCGATCTATTTAGACTGAAACAAAAAGGAACAAGTATATAAATAACACATAGCTGGGAGGGTGATAGAGTAGATTGTTACCCGAAAAAATATTGTCAACAGAGGCGAAGCCGAGGTTGACAATACTTTTTCGAGGGGTACCAATCTCCTCTTTCACCCTCTCAGCTACAAAATGTATGTGTTATCTAGTTTATTATACTAAATTTTCTATCATTATTGTCTTTTACTGTTAAATTTCAACTTGGAAGTACTTAACTATGATGTCACGTACATAACAACGTAACAGTAATTAGAAAAACAACAGAAGTGAATTAAGACAATGTTTTTTTTCAGTCTATGGAAAAGTTCTTCTGAAGCCAAAACGAAGACCTTGAGCATTGTCTTTAATTTATTGATGTAAATTCAATTCATTGACTTTTTAATTATAGATTTTTGATTGGTCTGCACGAGAGGGTGACATTCAAAAAATTGTCTCCCGCTGAGCCTTGGGATAGAGTAAATTATCTCCCTCGTATTATCCAATCAAAATCTAGCATTTTGACGTGAAGTATGATAATACAATATCTTCACGGCCACTACATACTGAATGACAATAACCGTCCTAAAAAAAAAATAATTAACAGCGCTAGCTGATCTGCAAGGTATACCATCTACTTGCCACAATACATCATGTACTGTGTTACAACCCTAAACGAAGGAAATGCATTACTCGACTAACGAAAGCATTATTTTATAGCCTAGTTGGTCGAGTGGTTTAGGGCACTTAACACAGGGGGTTCGAATTCGCTCACGCAAATTTGCAGATCTAACATTGTTGGGCTAAATTTAAGACGAAGTATTTATAAATTATGGTGTTAGGCCTGTATAACCACAGGTCATCCGATGGAGAACGTCTGTTGTAAAGTTACATATTTAGATATACAAGCAAGGGTTCGAATCCCGCTGAGGGAAGAACAAAACATTTTGGAGATCTATTATTGTTGGGATATGTTTGAGACGAATTATATATATATTATATTCAGTAATTGATCACACCGGTTGCAATGAAAATGAAAAATGACATGGATTCCACAGTAAAATAAAAATCTTTAATTTCACATGTCAACTATTTTACTCGCATTTGTGAATAATGTGTTATTTGCTATATTTGAATGCTATGTATCAGTCGTTGTATAAAACATGACAAAAGAGGATATAGAATGTATATGGGTATAACAATATTTGATCAAAAGTGAATGAACGTGAAAATACATTGATACATTTTCATATAATGATATGGTCAAAGGAAAGCGTCGTATTTTCAGTTTTAACTGGTGTCGTATTCAGAAAACAGTCACTGTGTCTAATTATCTTTCTCTATTTCATACAGATATCATAAAGTTAATACATTCTACCTGATATTTGTTTTCACATGCAATTTCCAGATTATTTTTGATATAAGAATAAGGAGATGTGGTATGACTGCCAATGAGACGACTATCCACCAGAGTTAAAATGAAGTTGTAGTAAGCCTCCAACAATGAGAAAAACCCATACCGTATAGCCGGCTATAAAATGTGCAACAATTCAAACGAGAAAAAATTAAAGGCTTAATTTATAACAAACAATTTACAAAAAAAAATTATGATAGACATGAACCAACGACAATCACTGCACTACATGCACCAAACTCAAAAGATCGATAGGAGGCACAAACACCCCTAACATAAAAACAATAAACACAAAGCACCGATAGAGGAGTACTCGCAGCTACTGAAAGCTTGTCCAAAGCCAATTACAACTAATGAATAAATCTTGTTCTCCCAGATTAAAGTATTGACCAGTATATATTCAACGGACTTCGTGTAAAAATGTCATAAACAGTCTGAGAAACGCATCACCTTATACAATGCCAAAATATAAGTAAACAGTATCGACAGGATGTAGGATCATGAGTTATCATAACTGTACATTTATAGCAATATATATTTAGTTATGTTTTAATCTAAAAAACAAAACAAAACCAATGTTTATAGTACCGATAAGGACAATATTTAAAAATTTCACTACACAACAGTGTTAAATTGATAACCTATAACAGTTTAAGAATAAGTAAATTCAAAGGAACAGTTAGTTAACAGGGATAGAGCGAGCAAGTTGTGAAAAAGACACACCGTCCTAAGGTGTCAAAGGAACATTATCGTGTAAAAAAGGAAAGTTAACATTCGGGAACGATAAATCGTCTCTTTTGTCATAAATGTTAGTATTCCAGTGTGAAACTGAAATATCAAAATCTAGTAAGAGACACTCAATGCTGTTTGTATTAAAATTTATTTAAAGTAAGATACTTGTCAGCAGTAAAATTAGGAAGTTATTGATTATTTCAAGCAAAAATATCATCATGGTAATAGAAGGTGTTTTTAAATTTATCAATTAAACGTAATTTAGACTAAATTTGGTCATAAACTGTGATTCATTACAATACAGGGACAAGTCTGCTATTTAGGAACGCAATTGGTGCCCATATGAATAGTGCAGAAACGTACATAGATATTGTAAAGGATAAGATTTACAGCTTTAATCATTTCACCACAGTTACGGTAAGTATATGGAGCACACTGCTCTTCTCCATTACAAAAGAAGGCTTCGTATGAGTTAGATCAAATAAATCTACAACCAGATTTTTTCAAGAAATATTTAATGAAATAAGAGAACTTCTATTTGTTTGATTGTGTGGTGGTGAAGTGAACACAGTCGACAAATCATAACTGTCAACCGAATTGAACGAACCATCACAAGCACGACATTTATCCAAAACATCAAAAGAGTTTTTGACACTACAAAAATAGTTAATTCCATTATTTTTATATATTTACCATCCTATCATATCCCCATGTTGTACAGATATTCTGTCCGCCGAAGCGACATTTAGTGCTTGGAATCCAGCACCGCCTGTAGTAAAAAAAAAAAATATACATATTGCATGGTCTTTTTAAAATACTAATTGTAATTAGCATTACAACAACAACAAAAAAGAAAAAAGAAAAAAACAAACTAAAAAAAAAACAAAAAAACAAAAAGAAAAAACAAACTAAAAAAAAAGGGCATATGTAAATATAATGAACATACTTCATTCTTATGTAAAATAGAAAAAAAAATCCAGAAACATTGTATCTTGAACTATCGTCATAACCGTACACATGCACGTAACTATAGTTGTAATCAAGGATGTGATTTACTGCTATTACAGCAAACACATTTGCATAACATAAATATTGTCTGTTAGCAAATCAACTTTCTTGTTTCTCTGTCATTGTACAAAATCTTGAAGAAAAGAAACCATTTTTACGGTAAATTGGGTACAATCATACAAATACAGATACTGATACAGATACAGATAGTTTTATTAAACAAGCAAAGTGCCCTTTGAAGGGCAGATTAATGACAATGTAATTATTCTTAACATAATAAACAACATTAACAATCATAGTTCTTTAGATTAATATTGTATTGATTGTATGAACAAAAATAACAAAAAAACAAAAAACAACTTTTAACTTAATCATAACAGAGAAATAGCATTTGTTCAAAGGACACAGAATATTTCTTCATAGCCTCCAGATGAATAATATGACATGGTTTTGATAATACGTCATGGTTTTGATAATATGTCATAGTTTTGATAATGTGTCATGGTTTTTTATTTAATGCCAGGGTTTTGATAATATGTCATGGCTTTGATAATGTGCCATGGTTTTGATTATATGCTATGGCTTTGATAATATGCCAGAGTTTTGATAATATGTTATGGTTTTGATAATATGCCATGGTTTTGATTATATGCTCTTGTTTTGATAATATGCCATGGTTTTTATAATATGTCATGGTTTTGCATGCCATGGTTTTGATTATATGCAATAATTTTGATTATTTGTCATGGTTTTGATATGTCATGTTTTGATAATATGTCATGGTTTTGATAATATGTCATGGTTTTGATAATATGCTTTGGTTTTCATAATATGCCATGGTTTTGATAATATGTCATGTTTTTGATGATATGTCATGGTTTTGATAATATGGTATGGTGTTGATGATATGCTTTGGTTTTGATTTGTCATGGTTTTGATAATAATTTTTTTGTTATGGCTTTGATAATATGTCATGGTTTAGATTATATGCTATGGTTTTGGTAATATGTCATGGTTTTGGTAATATGCTATGGTTTTGTGAAAATTTATGTTAATTTGTCATGGTTTTGATAATATGACATGTTTTTTATAATATGCCATGGTTTTGATAATATGTCATGGTTTTGATGATATGTCATGGTTTTGATAATATGGTATGGTGTTGATGATATGCTTTGGTTTTGATAATTTGTCATGGTTTTGATAATAATTTTATGTTATGGTTTTGATAATATGTCATGGTTTTGATAATATGTCATGATTGATAATACGCCATGGTTTTGATAATATGTTATGTTTTAATACTATGTCATGTTTTTGACAATATGCTATGGTTTTGATAATATGCCATGGTTTTGAAAATATGCTATGGTTTTGATAACAGGCCATGGTTTTGATAATAAGTCCTGGTTTTTATATGTCATGGTTTTAATAATGTCATGGTTTTGATAATTTGTCAAGGTTTTGGTAATATGCATTTATTTTAATTATATGTCATGGTTTTGATAATATGTCATGGTTTCGATAATATGTCATGGTTTGATAATATGCTATGGTTTTGATAATTTGCCATGGTTTTGATAAAGTGTCATGGTTTTGATATGTCATGGTTTTAATAATATTCCTTGCTTTTGGTAATATGCCATGGTTTTGATAATTTGTCAAGGTTTTGATGATATGTCATAGTTTTGATAATATGGTATGGTGTTGATGATATGCTTTGGTTTTGATAATTTGTCATGGTTTTGATAATAATTTATGTGATGGTTTTGATAATATGTCATGGTTTTGATAATATGTCATGGTTGATAATATGTCATGGCTTTGATATTATGTTATGGTTTGATAATATGTCATGTTTTTGACAATATGCTATGGTTTTGATAATATGGTATGGTGTTGATGAAATGCTTTGGTTTTGATAATTTGTCATGGTTTCGATAATACTTTAATGCCATGGTTTTGATAATATGCTATGGTTTTGATAATTTGTCATGGTTTTGGTAATATACCTTGATTTTCTATTATATGTCATGGTTTTGATAATATGTCATGGTTTCAATAATATGTTATGGTTTTGATAATATTCTATGGTTTTGATAATATGCCATGGTTTTGAAAATTTGTCATGGTTTTGATAACATGTCATGGTTTTGATAATATTCCTTGCTTTTGGTAATATGAATGGTTTTGATAATATGTCATGGTTTTTATTATATGCTATGGTTTTGATAATATATCATGGTTTTGATAATATGTCTTGGTTTTGAAACTATGCTATTGTTTTTGATAGTATCTCATGGTTTTGATAATTTGTAATGGTTTTTATTATATACCATGATTTTGACAGTATGTCATGGTTTTGGTAATATGTCATGGTTTTGATAATATACCATGGTTTTGATAATAAGTCATGGTTTTGACTATATGCCATGGTTTTGATAATATGCCATGGTTTTAATAATTTTGTATGGTTTTTACTCTTACTTGCTGTATATTCATTCTTCCCTATAAGCGTATACGAATATGTTCCAGTTTTTCGCCATATCTGTAATTGAACTGTCCCAGCACCACTCGTCCGTATCTCCCATCGACTTATAGAACCACAACACGTGACCTGGTAAATCTCGTCCTCTAGTAAATAACCACTACCTGTAGTTGTGATAGTTGACGCATACGAAGTGACAGGATTGTTACCAATTGTCCCTCCTGTACATGTAGTAAATGCTACAAAATAGTTAAAAGTAGTTAAAAAACCCCGACTTCGACAAAGGAGAAAGGCGCTAGGGATGTTTTACTCTTCCGGCACATTTTGGGACATTTTCTTCCCTTTTCTTATGGCTATATCATTCATCAAAAGGATATATTAAACCTAATTACACCTTACAGAAGTATGTTGGATTTTGATTGGTTAATATCCAGTGCATTATTTTTCTTGTATTTTCTTTTATCCATCAATTTGTCTAGTTAACAAATATCAGGTATACAAATAAAGTTGTGCTGTATATGTCCTTGCACAAATGAAGTCTCCTGTTACCCCTCTTCCATGTAGAGCAAGCAGTAATGTGAATATTTCTTTTTGCGTAACATATCAATTTAGGATCCTCTTCGCGGTACGCGTTTAAACTATGTCGATTTCTTTGAAAACCAGAGACAAGTATTTAGATTTAAACAACTAAAACTTCAAGTGCCAGGTGTAAATTGTAGTATAAAAACAATATATGTACATTGTCGGAAATAAACAATGTATGTGTACTCGCTACAAAACAGGAGAAAAGCTCGGTGAGCTTCGCTTTTCGACCTGTTTCAAAAGCTCGTACGAACACATTTTATATTTTCCGAAAATGTACGTTTATTGTATATTTATACTAATGAATCCGCCGTCGGGCTATATCCACAACGACATCCTTTTTTTTACCGTCTCCGCCATTTATTTGCCGAAACGTAATATAATATATGTCTTTTTACCCTTCAAGGAGACGGATGAATATTTGTGCATTTTATTAAGTGAAGCTGTTTTGCTAACGTCTTGGTAGCCAAAGAATACCAGAGACGGAGAAACATTTTTACCAAATAAAATATGACGCAAACGATTTTTTTAAGGATTTAATGGAAATGAAGTAAGTAACCTTCAAATAAAGCCTGGCGCATAGAGTTTCTTTCTTAAATTGTGATCTTCACGAATGACTTTTGAAAAATAACACAATTCAATTCATATATTAACAGTTCTTTGAAATATAATGTATATGCAATTAACATTTCGAACCTTATAGTTAAACTTTAACCACCAATTTCGACAGACATGGTGTAGATAAATCAGTTGTACGCCAAATAGGTCCAATGATTATCATATAGTAGTATCATAGAATACGGACTGACTGCTTCATAGTTCTATTAATTAATTAATAAAATTGAGAATGGAAATGGGGAATGTGTCAAAGAGACATCCCGACCAAAGAACAGAAAACAGCTCAAGGCCTTTAGAAACAATGAGAAAAGCGAATACATCTCACTCGAGTTCACTTGAGTATATTTACAGTAGGTTTTGAATTCATATAGATGCTGATTTTTGTACATTGGCTGAAATACAAATCACTGCATTCCGTAATATGTTTCCAATTTGTGTAAAAGTAACCCAAGAATAGAAGTATTTTCTACGCCCCTCTATCTAATTTACACTAACTTTATACATTGTACGGAATGCAGTGATTCGTATTTCAGCCAATATACAAAAATCAGCATCTATATGAATTCAAAACCTACTGTAAATATACTAAATTGAACTCGAGTGAGATGTATTCGCTTTTCTCACTGTTTCTAAAGCTTGTCAAATAAATATTATATTTTCCTATACTGTACGAATATTGTTTTTATTCTGCAATTCAACATTGAGCTTAAATGCCTAGTCTTTTTCCATCACAATCGTTGAATTTGTTTCTGAATGAAATCTATAAGGCATAAACGCGACCCCAAATTGAACTGTGACGTAAACAGTAATTTAAAACAGCCGGTCGCTCACAACAGAAGCGGGATACCAGGAGACTGTAAATGTTTACTAAACATTTATCACGTCATGTTATAAATCTGTCAACCTGTATTTGTATAGTAAAAAGGTCGAATGTAGGATGATATTCAAGAAACACGGGCTGTTCACTTTGGTGTTACAGTTATTTCTCTTGCAACTATCGTTGTGGTCATTAAGAAGATTTAATTAAATACCTATCTTATCTTGACCACTTTACTTATAAATATGACAAATAGCGAAAAAATAAAGACCAGAAACCGATGCTTTATTTCTGAACAATAATCTAATCTTCGTTGGAGCATTATCATGGTATTTTCCGTGGGAATCTATCATTTGTGCAATATAGATCACTATTAATACTGGGATAAAAAGAAAAAAAAAACTACTCCAAAACATTGTTCTATTTTGGTAACAGTTCCGGTCCCCGGTTTGGTCAATCATAGACTTAAAAAGTATGTAAATAAAGTCAACCACTTAATTACCGGCTATTAGGTGTCTGGCAATGTGAAAATGCAATTAAATTGTTTTTGAAAATATTTTCCTATAATAAAAGGCATAACAATTTAGAAATGTTAGTGTCGGCATTCACCTCAAAAGCTAACCAAACCTTTAAACAGACTTATTCGGAAGGGATATAGTTACGATACTGTTGTCAGGTCATTAAGGATTGCCTATTTTGGTATTAATATTCATTCATTCATAGGGTCTTTGCATCGGAAATAAACACATTTATTCTAAAACCAGTTGTTGGCATGATACGGGTTAATATGTTCTTCTCATATATTTTATGATGGTATAATACTAAACCCCTAACGGGAGGGCTCGTACTTGATTTTCATATGATGAAGACATAATCTTTCAATCAGTTTAATTGAGGTCTGGAGCTGGCATGTCAGTAACTGCTAGTAGTCCTTTGTTAATGTATGTATCATTGTCATTTTGCTTAGTTTCTTTTGTTACCTATTCTGACATCGGACTCGGACTTCTTTTAAACTGAGTTTTACTGTGCGTATCGCTGTTTGTTTCTTTATTCTTCATTGGCTAGAGGTAGAGGGGGAGGATTGAGATCTCACCAAACACGTTTAGCCCCGCCGCATTTTTGCACCTGTCCCAAGTCAGAAGCCTCTGGCCTTTGTTAGTCTTGTATGTTTTTTAATTTTAGTTCATTTATATGTTTTGGAGTTTAGTATGACGTCCATTTTCACTGAACTAGTACACATTTTTATTTAGGGACCAGCTGAGGACCACCTCCGGGTGCGGGATTTTCTCGCTGCGTTGAAGACCCATTGGTGGCCTTCGGCTGTTATCTGCTCTTTGGCCGGGTTGTTGTCTCTTTGACATATTCCTCATTTCCATTCTCAATTTTATTATAGTGCATCTAACAGTAAAAATAATAATATAACTTAAGCAGTATTTGTTTATATACGATACCAGAAGTTCGTTTGATATGACATTTTTTGTAGGACAAGGATTATTAAATTATAATATACAAAATTAAAAGGAGCCCTGCCCCCGTAATAAAAAAAACTCTCATACTAATATCTTATAATCATGCTTACCATACGCAGATCTGAACATCAAAATCATCCCAACGATATCTACACATTTCATGTTTTCTTGTGTTAGCCTTTGAAATTCGGAATGTACTAACTTTTAAAATATTTTTTAAGCATATTTGATTAACCACGAATGTGAGACTTTGATGTTTTTAAAATAAATAAAACAAAACAGTTCAAGTTGTTTAATAAAATATAATATTGGACCTCTTTCACGGACAACCGATTTCAAACACAAGAACATTGAACGAAACGTAAAACAAAAGTTTAAAATCAAAGCTATTGTTGTAATGCAGACAAGTCAATAAAGACACTTATATGAATTTAATAAGTTAACGGATCGCTACACACTTTATCATCGTAAAAAATACACAATTAATTTTTAATAAAGAATTTATACAGACCAGATTGGTTTAAAGCTAGCAGACGTTAATAAAATTAAAAAAAGGCATTTAATATATATGGGATTGTAAATTCTTATCGTTTTCCTGAGCCAAAGATTTATTCTTTTACTACTACCTAGATATAATCGAAATTTATGCCTAGGACGACAGATAACCTTTTGAAAGCGGATTATCTCAAGATGATTTGTTGCTTTATAGCCTGTATGTAAGGTAAATGTGACTTGACCGATCTTCATAATGCAATTTGCAAAGAAAGGAAAAGGAGGTTTTGCGTAAATAAGTAAAACTTTCAACAGAAACAGGAACACGGGAGGCAGTTTTATAGTGTTAAACAAAACGTACTATAGAGATTACAGTATATGATACCCTTTTTAGGAGACCAACTGTAGAAATACGTACACACTTGTCAATTTGATGAAATCAAAAAGTTTTACATAATTTATATCATAGATAAAAATAAAAATTCTGAAACAGATGCTAGAGGATAGGTAGCAAGTCCGCTTAAAAATATTCAATATATATATAAATAACATAGAAAATGGCTCTGTAAATATACTGCAAAAATAGTTGTTTATCATTTATCTGATCATCCTCATATTCAGCTGAATACATATAAGTATCAACATATGGCAAAATCCTAGGTACTTTATTCATATGATTTGCACCACGTGACTTAGGCCCTTTTGATTAAATTACTTCCCTAAGTTGTAGATTGAAAATATAAATTATATCAAATTTGCGGATATTCCAGTCTTTTATCCGTTTTGGATCTAAAACTAACGTGTTTTTGAAAACTTCCTTTGGCGGATATTTACAAATATTTTGTGTAATTTGAAGGACAAATGATTAAAATTTTACTATTTACGGAATGGAAAGGATGAAATCATCATGTTTTTAAAAGAATTTAGCCGAAAACTTAAGAAAGCAGGTGAGATAAAAGTTATTTAACCTGAAAATTCACCCTTCAAGGTATTTCCCTATATGCGGACAAATTATGAAGAATGCCTCTTTGTATCTTTATTTCTATTTTCAATCTTGTTTTTCACGAAAAATCGTTATTTTAGACAGAAATTATGATACGGTGACGCTTCCGATTTTCAAACTGAAAAGACCGAAAGTTGTCAAAGTAGACAATGTTCATTTGTACACGAGCAGAGGGCAAACAACATGTACAATTCACCTATATGCGTACAAATTGTTGATTCGACTTGGGAATTGGCATATTTGCATTTAATTTTAGGGGCATATACAATCCTATTGTAATGGCTGCCGGCATAATAAGGCAATATGGCCGCTATGCAAATTAGCAAAGTACCCCAAATTTTGCCATATGAAATCATTTTTCCTAAATGTTAAGACGTAAACAGTATAAGTTAAACAAACTTACTGCAACTGCATATCAAATTCACTAGAAGAACGGGGCACTTGGTACTGTAGGAAATGGTAGCCCAAACCTGGCCCCATAGCCAGCTAAACCTTTTTAAAAAATTTCAAAAACAATTTCAAAAAAATTTCAAACAAATTTGAGAAAGTCTTGCATACAATTGAGAATATAAACGGAGAATGCGTCAAAGAGACAACAAGAGCAGAAAATAGCATCTATATACACGTAGGAGTTATGTGCGGCTGTCATAAAACTGAGAGGTTTATCTGGCTATGGGGCCAGGTTTGGTTTACCATTTCCTACACGGGGAAATGCCTGTATCAAGTTGACAGTTGTTTTTCATTCGTTTGATGTATTTGAGTTTTGATTTTGCCATTTGAAAAGGATTTTCCGTTTTGAGTTTTCCTTTGAGTTCGGTTTTTTTTTATTTTACTTTTACATTTGAAGGAATGACTGTAATATTTTTTCTGTCTATACATATGAAGAAATAACATCAAAAATGTGGTGCACACTGAATAACACGCGTTATTTCGAATAGACAGAAAACAATATTACAGTCATTCCTTATGATTTAATTAAATTCCATTTTTAAGGAGTAAATCATGAAAAAAACGTCGAAGACGTCACGGTCACATGAGCTGATAGACAAAAAACTTTCAGCCAGTCAGAAGACGTGTTACATCTAAAATTAAATATTACATGATATGAAAGTAAATGGAATGAATAAATATGTGTCAATATTAAAGGTGTGATATGGAATGACTGTCAATGAGACAACTATCAAACAGAGTCCAAGTTGAGCAGATTTAAGCAAGTATTGAAAATCGTACTGCTTTCAACAATGAGCAAAAGCTCATTGGTGTACTAATGCATACCAATTTGAATTAGGACAAGGGCGATATACAAACCATTGAATTAGATCAAACGCTCTGATTTTTTTTCCAGAGAGAAAAGAAGAGAAGTTGATAATAACAACAAGGATCTATCTTGTGTAAGTTTTTAATTTCTAATAACAAAATTATATTTACAGAGAATTCATTTGTGCTGTCAAATTAAAAGTTTATAAGTTGTTTTTGACGCAATTCTTTTTAGTTTTGTTCTTGAATTATCCTGAAGCAAACAAGTCCCGATTGCGGGAACTCATCTCAACTTCTGGAAGAGGGAATCATTAGAGTACTTTCATTTTACCAATAGGTGAAATATTAAAAAAAAAACTAAAGATATATGGTATAATTGCCAATGATACACCAGTTATATGAAAGAAGTGAAAACAAAACTTTAGTGTGTTTATCAAAATGTGACAAATGTCAGTCTTTATTTAAATGTAATCGCTAACTTCATAACTTATGACCATGATAAGGAGCCTAAGTGACCAAGTGGTCTAAATAGTTTATATACAGTATCACAGACTGTCAACACTAAGGTTGTAAGTTTGAATCCCGCACAGGGCAGGTGCGTTCAAATCCGATCTTAATTTACTGGAATTGTCAGTTTTTCGGCCGACAGCTGATGGGTCTTTCTGAGCACTTCACCTTGATCCAACAACAACCAATAAAAATTAACCACCACTACATAGCCGATCATTTGAAATCCAGGGATGTATAAATACGTACACACGTGAGGAGTTTTTTTTACCAAAGAGGACCTTAAAATAATAGCATAATCCACCTAAGATTATTACCTGATAAGATGTATTCTTACTGTCATAATAATTGTTTAATTTATTAACTGAGAATTTATGAAAGACATTGTTTTTATTGTTTTTATTGGTATAAATATTGATTTTGTAATCAATAAATCAAAATCATTCTTAATAGTTTTGTTATATACATATGCACTTTAATGGTACTACAATCTGTCGATAGCTTTATTTTTGCATTGCACACGGTCATGTTTTTCTCTGACTGTTAATGACGTCTTTGTACTAAATCCATTGGATGTTGGATGTGAACTGATTGATATTTTAGTCTTAGATACATGTGTTACTGTGTTTTTGTTTGATTGTTCTGCTTTGTATCGATCTGATGAGTTAAGTCTTTTTCAACTTATTTTTACAGTTTGTTCTTATGATGTGCTGTTTCATCACTGTCCCAGGTTAGAGGGAGGGGTGAGCGCTCACGTATATGTTTTACCCCGCCACATTCTTTATGTGCCTGTCCCAAGTCAGGAGCCTGTAGTTCAGTGGTTGTTGTTGGTCGTATTTGTTTTTTCGTAAATTGTTTTGTTATAAATTTGGCCGTTAGTTTTCTCAATTGAATTGTTTCATATTTCTTATGTCGGGCCTTTTATAGCCGACTATGCGGTATGGGTTTTTCTCATTGTTGAAGTCCGTACTGTTGCCTATAATTGCTTACATCAACTTCATTTGAACTTTGGTGGATAGTTGTCTCATTGGCAATCATACCACATCTCCTTATTTTTTTATATTTATTAAGCTTGAAAAAAATAAAAAGTAAAATAAAGAAACTTAAGAAAGCCGAATAAGTGCCTTTCAAAATTTCTCCTGATTTTATTTTCCCTTATTCATCGTTTCACTTTTCTGAAATTTTTTTAAAAAATACAACAATGAATTCTAACTAATAATTGCATTGTTTTGTTTCAATCAATAATTACGAGAGCTAAGTTTTTAAAGCAAGTTTTATCAATTTATCCAAGCTATTAATAATTTCTCACTCTTTTGTGAGATGTTTTGCTTACAACTCTGGAAGACATCGACGAAACTGACAACGTACCCGCTATAACAATATTTATCGACCACGTGACAGAGTTAAAGGATACCGATTTTTATGGAACAACTATTTGACCGAATGACACATGGAAAATATTAAAAAGAGACTTAACATGCCCATCCTAACAGCTACGAGATCATCGAACTACTGAAGAAGAAACAAGCATTAACATATTGTACAATTATTCAGTATCCAGCAGGAGACGCCCGTCCAACAAAAAGACGCCAATACAGAGTAATAGACACCAGACTTAGCTACTGAAAGACATATACCATTATCCTGTTGAACTTACTTTAAATAAAACTAATACTAACAATGACCACTGTCCTCTCCTCGATCTTGATATCTATATCATTAACGGGAAGCTTAATACAAAAATTTATGATAAAAGAGATGATTTTTCATTTCCTATCGTTAATTATCCATTTTTAGATGGTGACGTTCCCTTGTCACCATCTTATGGTGTTTATATATCTCAACTTGTACGATTCGCTCGTGTATGTAACAACGTATTAGATTTTAGCTAGAGAAATTTATGTATTACTGAAAAATTATTACACCAGGGTTTTCGATATCATAAACTAGTCAAAACATTTACTGAATTTTATCATTGGTATAAGGACATCATTCGTAAATATAACTCAACATGCAGACA